CAGCCACAAATCTTGTAATTGTCATTAAAAAAAAAAAAAAAAAAAAGTAACTCTAATAAGTGGTATCTCTGTGGTTTTATTTTTAAAATATTTTATTTATTCATAAGAAACACAGAGAGGCATAGACATAGATAGACATAGATAGAGACATAGTCCTGCATAGATGCAGGACTCGATCCCAGATTCTGGGGATCATAATCAGAGCTGAAGGCAAGACGCTCAACCACTGAGCCACTCAGGTGTCCTCCCTCAGGTTTTAAAATGTATTTCCCTAATGGTTAATTACATTGAGCATCTTTTCATGTGCTATTTGATATTCACATACCTTATTTGGTAAAATATCTATTTTTGCCCACATTTTTGTTGGGGTTTTGTTTTCTTATGGTTGAATTTTGATAGTTCAGTGCATATTCTGAATATTTCATTTGTCAGATATAATTTGCAAATATTGTTTTTCATTAACAGTGCCGTTTGCAAAGCATGTTTTAAATTTTAATGAAGTACAAATGATGTTTTTGCTTCTGTATACAGACACTTTTGGTGTTTTATCTGAGAACTCTTTGCCTAAGATCACAAAGATTTTTCTCCCTATGTTTTCTTCTAGAAGTGTCATAGTTTTGTTTCACAGTCTGTGAGCCATTTGAAATTAATTTTAATGGGAAAATTGATTTTATTTGCCTTTAGGTATGTAATTGAGCAGTTACTTAAAAAAAGATAATCTTTTCATTCAGTAGCTTTCGTACCTTTGTAAAAAAAAAAAATCAACTGACCATATTTTTGTGGATAAATTTCCATTGATATATGTTCTTATCCTTTTGCCAATACCATGCTATCTTGATTACTGTAGCTTTACATTAGTTCTTGAAATCAGAAGATATGAATCCAACTTTGTTCTTTTCAAAATTGTTTGGACCAATCTAGTTCTCTGCCTTTCAGCATAAGTCTTAGAATCAACATACTTACAGAAAAATCCTCCAGAGTTTTGGATTTTGAAGCTTTAGATGAGGTCAGGGAAAACTGAGATCTTGACATTATTTTCTTCTAACTGGGAAATAATATATCCCTCCAGCTATTTAGGTTATCTTTGATTTCTTTTAGAGTTCTTTATGGTTTTTAGCATACTGATCCTGCAGGCACATATTTTGTTAGATTAATACCTATTTAATTTCTTGGTGCTATTGTAAATGATATATATATATATTTTAAATTCATGATAGACATAGAGAGAGGCAGAGACACAGGCAGAGGGAGAAGCAGGCTTCATGCCGGGAGCCTGATGCGGGACTCGATCCCGGGACTCCAGAATTGTGCCCTGGGCCAAAGGCAGGCGCTAAACTGCTGAGCCACCCAGGGATCCCCAAACGATACTGTTTTTAACATTTTGGCTTCCAATTATTTATTGGTAATATATAGAAATATATTTTTTGTTTACTGATCTTGGAATTCCAAGATTTCATTTGCTACATTTCCATTGATTTCTAAAGTTTTTTTTTTTTTTTTTTTTTTAAATTTAGATAGAGTGTGAGGGAGCCAGAGCAGGGGCAGAGGAGAGGGAGCGAATCTCAAGCAGACTCAGTGCTGAGCATGGAGCCTGATATAGGGCTTGATCTGGGACCCTGAGACCATGACCTGAACTCAAACCAAGAGTCGGTGCTCAACCGATTGAGTCTCCAAGGCAGCACTAGATTCCTTTTAACTTTTTATGCAGACATCATGCCAGCTATAAATAGAGACAGCTTTAATGCTTTCCAATCTGGATACGTTTTATTTTCTGTGTATTACTGCACTGGCTGCGATGTCCAGAACAATGATAAATACAAATGATTCGATTGGAATCCTTATCTTGCTTTGTTTTCAAGGACAAAACATCCACCTTTCTCTAGTAAGTATAATGTTGGCTGCAGGTTTTAAAAGATGATTTACCAGATTGAGAAAGTTCCCTTCTATTTTGTCTATTTTTCGTATTGATGTAATGCTGCCATAAAAAAATTAGCTAGGCAGCCTTTCTCTGTGGTCTGGAAAATATGTGTAGGGATCCCTGGGTGGCGCAGCGGTTTAGCGCCTGCCTTTGGCCCAGGGCGCGATCCTGGAGACCCGGGATCGAATCCCACGTCGGGCTCCCGGTGCATGGAGCCTGCTTCTCCCTCTGCCTGTGTCTCTGCCTCTCTCTCTCTCTGTGCGTGTGACTATCATAAATAAATAAAAATTAAAAAAAAATATGTGTAGAGTTGGTATTTTTTCTTACTTCAATATTTGGTAGGATATACCCAATGAGCCATATGGGCCTGAAGAGTTCTTTGCTGAAGGTTTTTAACTATGAATTCAATTTCTTTAATAGATGTAGGACAATTCAGATTATCCATTTTTTCTTGAGTGGATTTTGGTAATGTCTTTTAAGGAACTGGTATAGGGCCTGGCACAGAGTGGAAACTGATGGATATTGGGGGAATACATAAATGAATGAATAAGCATAACATTAGGGAAGGAGAAAGAAACCCTCCCTTCTTCCTAGAGGAAAACTGTCACTCTTACAAACAGGAAAGCACCAAAGCAAGTAATTAGAGCCTGGACGACTGTGTACTTACTCTGTGATAGGCACCATGTGAAGTGCCATGAATATATGAATTGTCTCATTTCATTCCTCCCAATAATCTTATGATTATTATCCTTGTTTTATGATCAAGAAAATCACCACCTAAGTAGTTTTCACACAAGACTAAAGAATTGAAGTCAGAAACACTAGTAAATGAAGTTGGAATCCAAACTCATGTTTATTTCTGAAGCCTTTTTAAAAAACCTCAGTGAGTCACATCTCCACGGATAGATATTTGTATACAGATATTCACATTTCCTTTCTTTCTCTTCACCACTTGCCCCCTGCCCCATCCTTTCCTGTCTGTAGGTTGGGAGTTTGGGCCTGCCTTAGCTGGGTCTTCTGCATTTTTCTTTTTTTTTTGAGAGGGGGTTGGGGTGGGGAAGGGCAGGAGAGAGGAAGAGAGAATCTAAACAGGCTTCATGCGTGGTGCGGACTCAGGGCTTGATCTCAGGATCCTGAGATCATGACCTGAGCAAAATCAAGAGTTGGAGTCACCCAGGCGCCCCTAGGTTTTTTTGTTTGTTTGTTTGTTTAAAGCAGACAATCATCCTGAACAGACGGATTAGACTGAAGCAGTTCTATCTTATTTTTTGTGGGAATAAGTTCCTGCATCAGTTCAGTTTTCAAGCCTTTGTTATTTATGTTGGTTTGGGTCTGTTTCATGCATGTATATAGTAGGGATTGGCCTGGGAAGTAGGCAGTTTTTATACTTTAGTATATAAACTTACACATATATAATAAACTACATAAACTATCTATGTTATATAGTTCAGTAGTTTTTACTTCTCAAAGCCCTCATTATATGTTTTGCATGTTCTGTGCATGCACAGTTTAGGGGTGAATGTGGAACTTATGTTCACTTCATCAGAACTAGGGGATGCTTTTTCAGTTCTCTCACCTCTTTAGAAGTTTTCTCCACTTTCCAGCTACCAAAGGTCCTTTTTCCTGGTCTTCTAGATAAAGATGGGGTTTTCTTTTTTTCTTTTTCTTTTTTTAATTTTTATTTATTTATGATAGTCATACAGAGAGAGAGAGAGGGAGGCAGAGACACAGGCAGAGGGAGAAGCAGGCTCCATGCACCGGGAGCCCGATGTGGGATTCGATCCCGGGTCTCCAGGACCGCGCCCTGGGCCAAAGGCAGTCGCCAAACCGCTGCGCCACCCAGGGATCCCTTTTTTCTTTTTTTAAAGATTTTATTTATTCATGAGAGAGAGAGAGAGAGAGAGGCAGAGACACAGGCAGAGAAGCAGGCAGCATGCAAGGAGCCTGATGTGGGACTCGAACCTGGGTATCCGGGATCACGCCTTGATAAATAAATAAAATCTTAAAAAAAAAAAAAACTAACAAGAATTCCAACCCTTCTCCCTGGAAACCCCACCCACCCTGTCCACCTATTCTTCAGGCCACAGGGTCCACTTTTCCTAGGTTCTCTGGCCAGGATGAGCTTTCTTTGGGGGGTGTTAGGTGCTTGTGCTGCCCTCTTTGCTACAGTGCAGCACCTTGAGTCAGAGCCATCCTCAGAGCAGGGCCAGAAGAGGAAAAAAAAAAAAATAAAGAATGGAAAGAAATAACCAAAAACGGGCTGTTCATGTAAAATGTCAATGGTATTAGAAAGAGTCAACCAGATCACTATTGCTCTGGTGGCTGAATTGGTTCAGTTTGCTTTGTAATCAGAAACAAATTACTCAACCAATCCTGCATTTCAGATTCCCTTGTTAAAACACTAAGAGAGAGACATATGAACAGATTGAATTAGATGATCACATGGAGAGAGACTTCAATAATCAGCCTATCTTCTATAGAGTAATGTATTTTCTTTGAAAAGCAGAAAGATGATGGAAGAGTGAACTGGAAGAGTAAATGAGAGTGGAGAAAGGACTTAAACCAATTATAAAAAGACCAAAACCCTTCTTGACAAAGTGCTTAAGCTTCAAGGAAAGTTTGGAAACCGTTAAATTGTTTTAGCAGTTTGAAATCACAGGATTGAGGCACAGTGGGGATGCGGGAGCCCTTAGGTTTAATTTGCCTCGGGTTAGGAAATGGGAGTTGTAGAGCAACTAAGGGTTAAAATCTGGAGACTTAGAGAAAATTAAAGTGTTTCCAAAAACATACTAACAAAAAGAAAAGTTTTTTCTTAGATTTTTAAAAAAGATTTATTCATGAGAGACACACACAGAGAGAGAGGCAGAGAGACACAGGCAGAGGGAGAAGCAGGGTCCATGCAGGGAGCCTGATGTGGGACTTGATCCTGGGTCTCCAGGATCATGTCCTGGGCCGAAGGCAGGCGCTAAACCACTGAGCCACCCAGGGATCCCCTTTTTCTTTGATCTTTGATGGTAACCCATGTCAGCATTCAACTTTTTCTCTGACATCAAAAGGAAAAGCAATGCTGGAACCAGAATGGTCAAAGATATTTCCTCAGTTTATTTTTTCCCACCTTCATAAATTAACAGCTTAAACTAAAAGTCACTTTTAGGGTGCCTGGCTGGATCAGTCAGTAGAGCATGCATCTCTTAATCCCAAGGTTCTGAGTTCAAATCCTACACTGGGTGTTGAGATTACTTAAAATCTGAAAAACAACAAGCAAAACTAAAAGCACTTTAAAATATGGTAGAGTAGGTAACTTGATATTAAGCTAGTCAGGAAGAAAAAAATGTTCCCTAGAGAAAAATTTATTAGAAGCCAAATCACAAGTCATGAATAAAATAAAAAAACATATGAATATTCATTATTTAATTAACTAACATTTATTAAACACACTACCAATGTTCCAAGTACAAAAGGAAAATCAATTCACATAAGAAAATAAAGAACTGCCCTCTGGCTTGATATTGGATCTTTAAGTGTTTCTAGCCACAATTTTTAGGCTAAGAACCCACCACAGAAAGAAGGGAAAGATAGAAAAACTACATATTGTGTGAAATTAAAATAGGAAAACTACCTTTATATATCTTGATAACTTGTTTTAAAAAATGAACATCTTGCTTGTAAAGAAAATTATTACACCTCTATTTTCCTGATCCTGATTACCAAGTCACTTACCTGAATACCAAAATTAAACACTGTAGCATACAATTTCATCATCTTACTTGAATGAAACCAATTTATGGGGAAACTACAGAATATGGCTGTGAGGGTAACTCATAGATATATGCATTCCTATGCAATGATATAAGCTGGAAACATATATATGGTCCTTTCTAAATGAAGTTTTTATTTTCCTAGGCTTCAATTAAATACATTTCCCTCTATACAATTTTCCACAGCAGATTCTCCTAAATTCTCACAATTCCAAAAAAGCCTCACTAGGTTTCAAATCTGATTTGACCAATATTTATCAAATATAAATCATTCGAATTATCTACTTAGAAACCAGAGACATGAAATGTACTAGAAGCTCTTTTCTAATGGAAAAACTCTAGGCCATTTTCTTTTATCAGAAATAAAAATGATCAATTTCCATGTTTTCCCCAGATGTTGCCTTTTTGCTAGCTTAAAATCAACCCATGTTTTATAAAAACATCAATCTACAAAGATGGTAAAAGGGTATGTAATCACCCATTCCACAAGTACAACACAGTAGGGGACTTACTATAATCGCACAGAAATCCTTAAAAATACTAATTCCTCAGCCCCATGCTAGATCTACCGAATTAAAATTTTTTTTTACTAATTTTTTCTTGAAAAATGAGCTTCTAAATTGATTTTGGTGTCATAAAATTTAAGAATCACTTGTGCAATCAAGTAAGAATGAAAAGATATGGCTTATATTGTACTACTGGTTCTAGTTATTTGGTTGTTTTATTTGGTTTCCTCATCAGAAAAAAAATGAATAAGTTAGGTCCTCTTAGCTCCAACAATTTATATAGATGTGTCTTGAAAAGGAGAGGAAATCAGGACACACACACACAGAAGAAAGACAATGTGAGGCAGAGGGAGAAGATGACCATCTACAAGACCATGAAGCCTCAGAAAAAAATCAACATCTTGATCAGGCTTAGCCTCCAGAAGTGTGAGAAATTTCTGTTGTTTAAGCCACTTAGTCTGTGGTATTACAGTAGTCCTAGCAAACCAGTTCAATGAATTATATGGGATGCTGGAATGTATGCAGAATCCTACGCCTCCCTCAGACTAGAGAGTTAATTTCTGGGGAATACTGATCCAGAAATCTGCATTTTTATCACACACAATAAAGTGTGCTATTTATAGCCAAGTATGCAAACTACTTCTTTAAAATCTCCTGTGATAGGGACCCCTGTGTGGCCCAGTGGTTGAGCATCTGCCTTTGGCTCAGGGCATAATCCCACGGTCCTGGGATCGGGTCCCACATCAGGCTCCCTGCAAGGAGCCTGCTTCTCCTTCTGCCTGTGTCTCTCATGAATAAATAAAATCTTAAAAAAAAAAAATCTCCTGTGATATCAAATGTGTAACTGATGCAAAGATTATAAAAGAACTATATCAAATCTCTTATTCTCAAGGGCCTTACAATTGAGAGGTTAGGCCAAATATTGTTAAGAAATAAGAGAGTGAAGAGTTCCAATGTGCAAAATCTTAAAATGTTAAGGGTAAATTCTCTTGCATTCTGTAAGAGTATACAGTGCTTAATATACAATGCTTAAAAAAACAGACTCCTGAAGATGATGAGGCAATGTGGTTGACTGCAATAAAGTGAAAAGGAATGGACCAGGGACACAGAAATCAAAGTTGAGGAACTAGCCAACGTGGAGAGTCTAAAAGAAGACCATTAGGGATGCTGAGATGGCTTAGTGGTTGAGTGTCTGCATTTGGCTCAGGGCGTGATCCTGGAGTCCCGAGATCGAGTCCCACATCGGGCTTCCTGCATGGAGCCTGCTTCTCCCTCTGCCTATGTCTCTGTCTCTCTCTGTGTGTCTTTCATGAATGAAATCTTTAAAATAAAATAAAATCTTTAAAAAAAAATTTTAAAAGACCACCAACAAAGTCAGCTGGGAGAAACAATAGAAACTACAGTAACTGAAAGTGGCAGACAAAGCCATAAGATGGTCCTTATAGTTTAAATAATAGATATTAGAAAATTTCTACAGGGGACAGAAAACTATAAAATGTAATCTAGCTATTAAAAACAAGAAAAAAGAACCAAACAGAACTTCTAGGACTGAAAAATACAGACAAAAATTAAAAACAAAATGGATGGTTGTAACATAAAAAACAGATGAAGAGAAGTAAAGTAGAATATGGGTCAGAAGAAATGGTGCAGAATAAAGCATGATGAAACAAGAACAACTGGAAAATATAGAAAAGACCGTTTTAAACATAGAAGGCAGAGTCTGGGGGGATCCCTGGGTGGCGCAGCGGTTTGGTGCCTGCATTTGGCCCAGGGCGCGATCCTGGAGACCCGGGATTGAATCCCACGTCGGGCTCCCGGTGCATGGAGCCTGCTTCTCCCTCTGCCTGTGTCTCTGCCTCTCTCTCTCTCTCTGTGACTATCATAAATAAATAAAAAATTAAAAAAAAAATTAAAAAAAAAGAAGGCAGAGTCTGTGGTATTTGATGAGAATCCCCACAGAAAAGAATGGGGAAAGAGGCAATATGTGAAGGAGTAGTATCAAGATTTTCTTAGAAGTAATAAAAGACTCAAATCTAGAATTCAGAAAGCTGAACAAATCCCAAACAACAATGATAAAAGAAATCCATACCCAGATACGTAATAATTACACTTCGTAAAATGAAGGCAGATCGATTTATTTTTTCTCCCTTTATTTATTTTAAAGATATTATTTATTTATTCATGAGACAGAGAGAGAGAGAGAGAGAGAGGCAGAGACTCAGGCAGAGGGAGAAGCAGGCTCCATGCAGGGAGCCCAACGTGGGACTCGATCTGGGTCTCCAGGATCACACCCTGGGCTGAAGGCAGCGCTAAACTGATGAGCCACCAGCGCTACCCAAGAGATTTCAATGTTTAACTTACCTGATGGCTGACTCAAGAGCAACAGGGGAAGTTCAAAGACAGTAGAAAAATATCTCCAATGAAAGATAATGAAGCCCAAATTAGAATTTCACATTCAGCAAAAGTATCTTTGCAGAATGAGGGCAAAATATTTTCAAAGAAACCATGAGTAAGTATGCCACCAGTGGACTCTCACCACTTTAGAATTATGAAATTCTAAAACATTTCAGGTAGAAATTTAGTTCAGATGGTAAGCCTGAGATAGAAAAAAAGAATAAAGAGCAAAGGAGGTGAAATATATGTATGGGTAAATACAAACACCGACTACATAGACAAAATAGTCTTGCCATATTAAAAGACATTTATGTAAATAACTACTGAATTAAAGTGAATAGAAATAAAATACATGATCATAGTAAGCAATCTGGGAATGAGAGTTGTTTCAGTTATTAGAACATAGTAACTGCCTAATAAATAATCCCAAAACTTACTAGAATAAACTATCCATGTTTATGGATTCTGTGAGTCAGGAATTTGGTAGGACACAGCAAGGATGGCTTGTCTCTACTCCATTAAGCTTTGGGCTTGGAATCCTCTGAACTTGCTTACTCATGTCGGACACCTGATGCTGGCTGTGGGTTGGGGACCTCAGTTTCTTCATGTGGGTTAGTTTAGGCTTCCTTATGACATGATGTCTGGAATCCAAGGGTGGGCTTTCCAAGAGGGGAAAGTAGAAGTAGAAGACCTATAGCCTTTTATGACCTAACCTCAAAAGTTGTGGTTACATATGATGCATTTTGTTATATCAGGGCAGTCATAAAGTCTTATTCAGGTTCAAAGAAGAGCTGGAGGAGGTTGCAAACTTCTAGAAGAGCATGTGGGATTGGAAATACTGCCATGGCCATTTTTTTGAAACTTTAATCAGCAAAATGTAAAGATAATGATTAAATTTAGTCTGGCTTAATCTGAATGTGCATATTACAGGTTAATCATCAAAAGACAAAAGCCACTGAACTAGAGAAGAGAAAAAAAGTGGGTATAGCTCAGCAAAAGAAAAACCGTATCATGTATATTAAAGAAGAATTTAACATAAAGAATTGGCTAAACAGATTTTGGGAGAATTGAAAACATCAGTTATTAAAGGGAAGTGGGTGACATTATTAGAACCTGAACCCTAGAAGAGATACCCTGCAGAGTGCCAGAGAAAAACTAGAGCCTAAGAACCAATCAGAAACTACTGGAAGAAAAGCCACTGTTGAGGTGATGCTGACAATATTAGGAAGCAAATGGCAAAGCTAAAAGTCTCTTTTCCCTTTCTCCAGCATTCCAGTCCTCCTCCTAGTGCCACCTATTTGTGGAACCTAAAGAAAGCCAAATGGCAAAAAAGAAATGCAGTTTACAAAGTTCTAGAGTACAATAAAGTGTCTAGAGTTGAGGGTTAATAATTAGTAATTGGCATATATAGAATAAAAAAAGTACAAAAAATTTTTAAAAGGCAAGAAAACAGAGAAAAAGAATAAGCTACACTTTGAAGCCAACTCTGAAAGGCTGTAGGAATAAGGGTAAACAGGAAGTAAGAGCAATAGTGGTCTACAGTTCAACTTGGAGTCATATGGGTAACTCATAAAAACTCGACTCTGGAATTGGTCAAGTTACTAGTGGCTAAGTGCCTATGTGGAGGATGAAAATACAATGCGGGACATCAAGTTATTTTTAAAAGCAACTTTTCAAATAGAATATTGGCATATAATTAAAGATCACCATACACACAGGATGTAAGATAATGATTAGCTGAAATAAAAGAAAAATAAAAACAGTCCCACAGGAGAGTTCCAGATTTGAGAATGAACACAGACTATGAAATAATCATGCTTTATGATCATGTTCAAGTAGATAAAAGATTGAAAATTCAGCAAGACAGCTGAAGAAGCTACGAGTGACAGAATTTGCATATTTGTAATTAGAAATTTGAGAACTGAAAATACAATGGGCTAAGAATAACCAAGACACTTTTATAGAAGTTCGGAGGACCTGTTCTGCCAAATAGAAAAATCAATAAATCAGCTACAGTGATGAAATTACTAGCACAGGGATAGAAAAGGAGAAATAAAAAATCCAGAGATGTACACATAAATGGATATACTTTGGTGGTACTGCAGAAAAGAACATACTTGGTAAAAGAACATGTTTCACAATTCAATAAATGGTGAGGCACACCCAGCATACACAAAATTAATTCCTCATAAATTGAAAACTGAAAACGTGAAAGGCAAAGCTAAAGCCTTTATAAAACAATATATAGAGAGGTACCTGCATGACCTTGGATAGAGAACACTGTTTTAAGCAACTCACGAAATACACTAACCTTAAAACAAAAGACTGATACTTCCTAGTACCTAACCTTTGAGAAATTCTTTTTAGCAAGGAACATCATGAAGAAGAGAGGGAAAGGCAAGCCAGAGTGGGAGAAGATATTTGGAAATATGTAGCTAACTAAAAACAGGATTTATAAAGATCTTCTATAGATCAATGAGGGAAAAGACTGCTAATACAGCAGAAAAATGGGCAAAAGAATTGAAAAGACAGTTTGCAAAAAACAAAGTCAAAGTGGCCAACAAACTCAGAAAAAGGTGCTCAATTTCACTGGTCGTTAGGGAAATACAGAGTAAAATTTCAATAACATACAACTGTACAATCCACCAGGTTGGCAAAATTAAAAAAAAAAATCTGTTAATACCAGTGTTGAATGGGGTAAGCAAATACAGGATATCTCTACTGCTAAGGCAATACTCTGTTATGGTCTAATAAAACTTAAGATGTGAATACCTAAGAGCAAGCAATTCCATTCCTACATATATAGGTATATACCTTAGCTGCGCTAGGAAATACATACAATAATGTTCATTGAGCAACTGTGATTGCCCCAAACTAAAAACATCCCATAGTCAATAGAATGAATAAATAAATTGTGATGTATTAATGCAAAGGTAAACTACATAACAATGATGAATAAAGTGTGGCTGTAAGCAACAACATGGATGATTCCCATGTTGAATGATGAGAGCAGCAGCCACAAAAAAAAGTCTGATTCCATTTATACCAAGTTCAAAAACAATCAAAAAGTAAACTATATTGTTTTAAGTACATGATAGGTAGTTAACACTATAAATAGAAACAAAGAATTATCACAAAAGGTAGCATAGTGGTATTATCAAAGGATATGTGTAGGGAAGTTGGTTGTGACTGAGAAGGGACTACGAGGGACATTTCTGAGCTGCTGCCAATGTTCTACTGATTTGACAGGTAGTTACCAGCCCTTACTTTATAATTAATCCTTAAAAAAAAATAAATAAAATTAATCCTTAAACTGTGTATTTATTTTCTATATACTCTTGTGTGTGTGTATATGTGTATATATATATATATTTGAATATATATTTCTGAACTTAAACAAAGCTAAGAAATAGCAAGAGAAAAATGAACACTGAAAATTACCTATTACTTACTCTGATCCCCAAGATTTCAACTTCCTGATTTATGTTTTGAAATTGTTGAAAGTAAAATAGTTAAATCCATACTTACTGACTGCATACAAAATGATTTCTTATTTACAATTACAATGAATTTTTATAATTTAACTGTTCATTATAGTTTTAAATTATCAGGTCAAAAGATTTTTCCTTAAGATCTCAGGAGAACAATTTTCTGTCTTCATTTTACTAATTATAAATTATAAAACAGTGGACTCTAAACAAGGAGTGTTGTAATTGACAAAAAATAAAAACAAAGATATACATCTATTTCTAAGTTCTACCTTTGGGAAAATTTAGAGGAAATTACTGATGAGTACCAAACAAGTTTTGAACTCCAAAAAGGAATATACTTTGTAAAGGTGCCTGGTTGGCTCAGTCAGTAGAGCAGGTGACTCTTTGGCCTTAGGGTTATATATGAGTTTAAGCCTGACATTGGGCGTGAAGCCTACTATAAATAAAATAAAAATCTTTTTTTTTTAAAAGGAATATACTTTAGATATCCCCAACCAACAGTGTGATATTTACCAGACCTTCTAGGTTTTACAGTCACTATTTTCTCAACTGTTTTAACAGAATCTCCAGGAGCCAAAAGTACTTTGAAGTAATGTTCCTCTACACACAGCGACTATTATATCCCCATGACTGCAAACTTGAAAATTAGGAAATACCAAAGCAATGTTACTCAGAAAATGATTAGCAAAATTGGAAATCTCTGGAGTCAACCATGGACTAGGATTTACAAAGATACTGTCAAATTTCTTAATTTATTTTTAGTAGTAAAAAAAAATCACTCAGTGGTTCCATACAAAATCAAATAATTTTTACACCTGGTATTTTAATCATCAAAAGTGATCTCATGGTACAGAAATAAAATAGATAATGACAAAAAATATCATTAACTTCACGCCCTGGCTTTCCAGCTTAGTAGAACTAAATAGAAATTAATGGTAATAACCATTACCTACAGGAAAAGAAAAAGCAATGATAAAATCTTTCAGGCTTGGGCAGCCCGGGTGGCTCAGCGGTTTAACGCCACCTTCAGCCCAGGGCCTGATCCTGGAGACCTGGGATCGAGTCCCACATTGGGCTCCCTGCATGGAGCCTGCTTCTCCCTCTGCCTGTGTCTCTTTCTCTCTCTCATTAATAAATAAATAAAATCTTTAAAAAAAAAGAAAAAAGAAAACAAATGGTTTAAAAAAATGTTCCAGGCTTAATCGCAAAATGAACTTAATCCATGTTGGTTTTGTTTGTATCTATTAAAGCACTGATTACTATAAATAAGAACTGGTAGCAGGGTTCCAAATTTACTTCTGAAGAGATGTGGAGATTTAAATAAGAGTAAGCCATCAGATCACAGTTGAGGATTACTGAAAGACTCCCTGGAAAACATCAGTTACTATCATACAAAGCAGAGTGAAAATGGGGAAAAGTCCTTTTATTATTGCTAGCCAAGAGTTCTAAGCCATTGACTTTGATGTTCCTGAATTCAATTTTAAGGAATTTTAAACATTATTCTTGAAGAAAAATTACTTATATCAATGGTATCCATTTCCTTTAAACTCATCCCATCCACCTATCCTTGCCTCCAATGCAGAATATCCTTTTATTCAAACAAATTCACATTCCACTCCCAAATATATTTTCCCAATTGGCTGATACTTTTACAAAAGAATGAAATAATATAGCTGGTTGACAAAGTAATTTCAACTATTTATAAATGAAATAAAAGGAAAGTTAAGCGGAGAGTATAAAAAGATACCAAATGGGAGTAATACTGATGTGACTCTAGTCGAGTTTATCAAAGTATCTATTAGTAGCCTGGACAAGGGATCAGATGAAAAGCAGCTAGAGAACTGACTTCCTGTGGTTACAAAATGCCAATTGCTTTAGAATGCATGACAGCCTTAGAAATAAATGAAACACTTGCTGCTTTTACCAAGTTTACAGTGTTGAGTACATTTTACATCATTTTAATGAAAACATTTATACAAATTTACTGCAATATCTCCTATCAGAAAACAGAGTTTCTACCATTAAAGACCTAAAAAAATAAATTTTTATCTTTGTCAACTCCCTTTCTGGGAATGCAGGATAAAATATATGTTTCCCTTAAAATATTTTTTTTCTGTCCAATAGGTTGCTGGAAGAAAAAAAGTCAAGACTCAACTAGTAATGATTTTTTTTTAATTTCTAGTTTTCATCTACTTCTAAGGACACTCCCTTTACAAAACCTTTCAGTCAAAAAAAAAAAAAAAAACCTTTCAGTCTTATATACTATGACAATCATGTTTAGAGCTCCAAATAAATAAAATAGCCACGTTAGAAGGCATATTGAAGAATCAAATGATTAGCCACATTTATCTGTTCACATTCATGGGTCCTCTAAGAGGGTTGTCAGAGTTCTTATAATACTGTTAACATTTAATACAAGTTAACATGTGTCATCTGATCTACTGCTCATGGGTTACAACACTGACGCTATTATTAATACAGATCCTAATTTTGGGGAGACAGTGATATTAACAAACTCTGGTTAAATTACCAGGACATTAAACTGTAACTGTATAATTTAAAATGGCTACTCTTCATCCACTGCTACCATCTCCCTCTCCCCCCTGGTGTTAAACTCAAAAGCCTAAACTATAAGAGGTGCAGGGTGCCAAACACTTTTGTATAGGAAAACTGGGTCTTGTATAGTAAACAAACAAACAAAAAAATTCACAAAATAAAGATTAAACTGTTTGGATGGCTGCAACTGTTATTTTCAATTTTTTGATCTTTTATCTCTTCTGGTGACGAACGCATTTTTTTTCCTTCTTTTCATCCACAGAGGTTAATACACAAATTTTTTGTAAGCATTATAAAACATCATTCCAGTTCAAAATTGCTTGTGATCATATCCACATATGAAGCACTAGACAAGTGTATATTATATTCCAAAATGCTTTAAAATTCTTCACTGTAGTTTTCTACTGATGTTTCCCTTAAATTAAGGCTTCATCAAAGAGAAATTCATAGTATTATGAATTGATTTTTTTTCACTCCTGAATTAAGTGCAATCTTTCCAAAATCAAGTAGTCCTGGAGAAAATTTAAGACAACTTCCGTTAATCAGTGTCATGATTAAAATAGTATCTTACTGGAGGTCCAGGCAAATCTTCATCTCCATCCGTGTCTGGAGCAAATGACACAGTAAGATCCACATATTTCTTTTCAGTAGAAGGTTTCACAAGTTTATGCATTCTAAGAAAAATAATCAAGGACAAATAATTTGGTAAATTCTGTAAAATGAAAGAGTGACTTCCCGTTTAATGTTGCCCAGAGAATCTGGACCTGTGTGTCTGGACTTCACATTTATTTTAAAATCTAATAATTCATCTGCTTTCATATGTTACAATTTTTCTTTACTAAAAGCTCTAAACTCAAGACATTCATTTATGTAATAGTGAATCAGTCTGGACTACCGTTAATATTGATAAAGAAAACAGACCATTTGCTAAAAGACAACGCTCTCGCCCAAAACCAAAATGTAAGCAATGTATTTTAAAAGTCAATTATCCTCATATTTCCTATAAAGTGTGGAGGCATCATAAATTCTTTAAGCATTTCTATGTAAAGAGTAAAAAGCAAACTAGATTTAAATCTTCAAATGCAAGCTAATCACAATGAAAGACATAAGCTTTACCTTTCCCTTATATCCCATGTATATCTTATTTACTAAAAAAAAAACCTGTTGTTGTGATTGTCACTGATACTATCTTAAATCAAGTTATCATCTGTATTTCCTTTGATTACTGGATTAGTTTTGAGCCAGCTTTCTCCTACCTCCAATCTACTCTGCTGCCAGAACACTCTTAGGATGCAAATCTGATTTTACTCTCTTGCCTAATAATATTATGTATCATATGCCATGTACCTATCTCATATCAGGCTTTGAACTATGTAATCTATTTAAATGTCAATAATAGCTCTTGCCATTTTACAAAGATAGTTTGTCCCATTTATAACTTCTCATTCTTTCTACCATTCTCATCATCTCATCCTTAAGTTATTCCGAAATACTGATTTTCCAAATAAATCATGCATGCTTTACTACCTATATGCTTTTGCATAAACTATTGCTTTTGCCTAATACCCTTTTTCAAAGGTAGCTCAAATGAAATCTACCCTAAAGTGAAGGATTGAGTTAGTAGTGCCTAAGGTATTCTGTAAAAATATTTATTATACAAATTATTCAATTACATTTTAATGATTAACATGTCTCTTTTTCATAATAGACTGTGAATTCCTTGAGGGCACAGGCTATTTAATAAAGATGTATATTAACAAAAGATTTACAAGGGTAACATTTATGGACTACCTCTTGGTTGCTATTATACTGCTAGTCTTTACTACTATTTTAATGATCAACAGCTATGGGGACAATCATTCCTAGTTGTGGACAGAAAACTAAGTTTCAAAAACTTTTTTATTTATTTATTTATTTATTTATTTATTTATTTATTTATTTATTTATTTATTTATTCATTTATGATAGTCACAGAGAGAGAGAGAGAGAGAGAGAGAGAGAGAGAGAGGCAGAGACACAGGCAGAGGGAGAAGCAGGCTCCATGCACCGGGAGCCTGACGTGGGACTCGATCCCGGGTCTCCAGGATCGCGCCCTGGGCCAAAGGCAGGCGCCAAACCGCTGCGCCACCCAGGGATCCCTTCAAAAACTTTCAGTAAGCTATTCAATGTGGCAAAATAAGTAGCTGGGCATGGATGTGAATCCAGGTCTTTCAGAAGCCAAGCTTCTCTAGCCACTTAATAGGTACTTAATAAATGTCCTTAGTAAACAGCTGGTAAATGAAGATATAATAAATAAAAAATATCATTCACAAAGTATATCATGCTGGAGATTCCAAATACTGGCCAACTTATAAAACACTATTGGGCATTACTTGCAACAAATTTTAAATTCTACTAATCAATATGCTTCAGGACCACACATTCTATTCTCATCTCTATTCTCATTAATATACTATTAATATATCCAAAAGATACTCAGGGATCCTAATGACAAAATAATATAAGGCAAATTAATACCTTATCTATGTAACAGCAATTTTGCTGTTTCAAATATAGATCAATAAGCCTGGATTATAGTAATTAAAAAGTGATTACTCTCATTAATTGATAATCATAGTTAAAACTTACATATGTTAAACCACCCATTATGCAGAGATGCATAGGACAAATAATTTTATGCTAATTTTTATTTATTTAATACAAGTTAACATGTCATCTGACTTGCTCTTGGTAAAACACTGATGCTATCAACAATGATTCTGATTTTTAGGAGACAGTGATATTAACAAAGTCTAGTTAAATTAGCAGAGGTAAATCTATTTGATTTTCCAGTGTGCATCCCCCTTATGTTTTAATTCTTGTGAATCTTCTGATGTGAGGTTCAATACTTACGTTAACTTTAATCTTTTTGCATGACCTGGCATTACAGGAACATAAAGCATTTTGACTCCCTGTACCACCATTGTTGGTTCAATTCCATACTTCTCCTAAAAGTAAATACCCAAAAGATGGCAGTCAAAGCCATGTCCAAATATAAAAGGTTGGGTGACAATATATTACAACCAGTAAAAAGACACTTGACAAACTTCTGAATATTTATGAAAACCTCCAACTAATGAACTAAGTAAATAAGTGTCTCACTTTGACTGCATTTATGAAATCCAAGAGGGTGAAGTCTTCTTTTCCATGTATTGTCCATCTGTCCCAAATTGTAAATGATATTCCGTTTCTGTTGTAGAAAAAATATTCAGAACAAAAACATTTTAATTTTTTTCCTTTAGTAATAATAAAAAGCCCCAGAAGTTCATAATTTGTTACTTAGCTACATAATAACATAGAGGAAAAAGAAAAATACAACTTATTTCCCTATCATACCATACAAGGTAGCCATTTTTATCAGTACCTTGTTGATCCTTCCAGTGTCTCATAATAAATCAGTATCTCTTAGGCAAGAGAGTTCTCTATTTAAACAGCTACATGGGTTTCTCTCTGTGGATGTTTCAGTCCCCTATTACTGAACAGCTGGGTTATTCCAGTCTTTGGCTATGATAAACAATGCTACAATGAACATCTTATAAATATATCATCTGAGATGAGTGCAAATGTGTCTACAAATTTGAAATAATGCACTATATTTCTCTTATTATGGGATATACTATTTTATACTCTTATCAGTAGTAATGTATGAGGAGAGTGGTTCCCACTCTTGCCAAGACCGATATTTTCAAATTTCTGGTTGTTGTCAATTTGAAAGTGAAAAATGAAAGTCCAGGGGGATTGTTTTGTTCTGTCACATAGTTTCTGGAACCAGATTCTAAATCTTATGATAGATCAGTAAGACACTATAATGCCTTCTAACTCATCTGAATTAAGAAAAAACAGATGAAACCATAACAAAGTACAATGCTAAATAATGTAGCAGATTAACTGTTGTGAGTGTTCTATGGCAGTTTAGTCAGGAATGCTTCACATAAAGCAAAAGAATAAAATTGGACCACTATCTTACACCATATGAAAATTAACTCAAAGGGAGCCTGACTAGCTCAGCCAGAAGAGCATGTGACTCTTCATCTTGGGGTTAAGTTTGAGCCCCACTTTGGGTGTAGAGATTAATTAAAAATAAAATCTTAAAAAAGAAATTAACTGAAAATGAATGAAAGTCCTGCATGTAAGATCTGAAACCATAAAACTCCTAGAAGAAAACAAAGGTGGTAAGTAAGCTTCTTGACATCAGGCTTGGTGATAAGTTTTTTACATTTGATACCAAAAGCAAAAGTAGACAAATGGGACTACATCAAACTAAAAAGCTTCTACATAGCAAAGAAAACCATCAACAAAATGAAAAGGCAGACAAAATGAACAGTGGTTAATTGTTCAAATTAATAATCTTACATAAAAGAAATCTAGAAGTAAATAAACCAGGGATGTTCCATTGGTTCTGTAAAGTGACTAGGGATCCAGGCTTTCTATACTCATTACTGGGAGGCAATTTTTCACTCATGACATGTCTTATGATAGCTTTTATCTAGAAATATCCTTTCAGGGATGTTTTCAGAGGAAACAGCCTTGAATGATAAAATAGTGTCGCTCTTCAGGTCAGAGAACAGATCTGATTCCTGGACAAGGCAATAAAGATAATGCCTCTCTGCTGGGCACAAGTGGTCAGATTTGCCAGCAGTCTTTGCATAAAATTGGGGTATTCTTAAGCTCAGTGTTCCTTAGCTGTAACAGATCTATTGCATGTATAGTATCAACCTGGATGTTCTGCATTATCCCCATGGGACTTGGAGGGCAAGAGAAAACAATGCAAACATGAAGCTCATGTTACCTGCTATGCCAGAAGTAATAAATTGAATTAAAAAGAAAAGGCAACCTACTGAATGGAAATAAATACTTGCAAATCATGAATCTAATAAGGAGTGAGTAACCAAAATATATAAAGAACCTGAAGACATATAAACAGGTATGAAAAACTGCTCAACATCACTAAACACCTGGGAAATGCAAATCAAAACCATAATGAGGTTATCACCTCACAACTATTAGAATGGCTAATATTAAAGACAAGAAATACCAAGTGTTGGCAACAGTATGGAGGTTCCTTAAAATATTAAAACTAGAATTACCATATGATCCAGCAATTTCACTTCTGGATATTTATCCAAAGAAAATGAGAGTAAGTAACTCCAAGACATATCAGTACTCCCAAGATTTCTTTTGAAATCTTGTTATTTGGAACAACATAGGCATTATGTTAAGTGAAATAAGTCAGAGAAAGACAATAATATCTATGATCTCACTCAGATGCGGAATCTTAAAAAAAAAGAAACCAATGTGAAACTGAGCTCAGAGATAGAGACAACAGATTAGTAGTTGCCAGAGGTGGGACTGGGGTATGAGCAAAATGGGTGAAAAGAGTCAAAAGGTATGAGCTTCCAGCTTTAAGATAAATTAGTCATGGGTATATAATACACAGCATGGTGACTATAGCTAATAATACTATGCTGTATAGTTGAAAGTTGCTAAGAGAGCAGATTAAAATATCACAAGGGAAAGACTATGCTTAACTCTGTATGGTGATGTTGACTGGACTTATTATTCTGATCATTTCTTAATACATATAGGTGTTGAATCATTGGGTTGCACACCTGAAACTAATCTAATGCATGTCAGTTATGTCTCAATTAAAAAAAAAAAAAGAAAAGAAATGCTTCATGAAGATGGGATTTTGACCTAGTCTTACCAAAGATTACTATGTCCATAAGAAAAGGAGACGTGAAACTATGATATTTTCCTTTTAGAAGGTAAAAATTTTATTTCATTTTCATTATGCAAGAGAAATAGACTTTCATGCATACCTGATTTCAGTTCTTTTTACTTCAGATGTCTCTGTAAACACTATAATTGGAATAGCTAAGTTAAGGAAACAATTTTTGTAAGCTTCAAATGGATAGTCACCAGCTACCTTGATCATCTCCAGTGCAACCTAGATAAAAGAAGGTGATCTGATTATATAGAGCCCCAAACTATTTATGACTTTAAATGCATTTATTTAGGGATGCCTGGGTGGCTCAGCAGTTGAGTGTCTGCCTTTAGCTCAGGTTGTGATCCCAGGGCCCTGGGATCGAGCCCTACATCAGCTCCCTGTGGGAAACCTGCTTCTCTCTCTGCCTAGGTCTCTGCCTCTCTCTGTCTCTCATGAATAAATAAATAAAAATCTTTAAATAAATAAACAAATGCATTTATTTAATTTTCCTAAATTCTTCTCAAGCGTTTCTCTGTAAAGAGTAAAAGCAGCTACTAGATTGAAATAATAGGAATTTTTTATAAATCTGTCCACTTTTTGCATATCTTATACTTTCAAACTTTTCACCTGTTCTATATGGGTTGAACAGTTATTAAAATGACTAATTTAATCATTTAATCTTCCTATTGTGGAAGACATGAGAATTCAAGAAATATAATACTCTAAAATCCTTTAATACAGGAGATAATTACATAGCTTTGAAGTATAACACTATAGTACAGCATAACAACTAGGGCCAGCCTAAAGATTCTGAATCATTAAGGAAAGATTAAACTGTAAGAAATCTGAATCACTAACAGGAATTACATTTTTTAAGGCAAAGAACTAAAGTCTAATACAATCAAAGACCAACCATTAGAGCAGTTCACTTTATTCAAGAAAAATAGAGTGCTTTGTATGGAGAATACAAGAATGATTAAGAGTATTATTGCTTGTAATAATAATTATACTCTATCTTGACAGAGGTTAGTTATTATATTAAAATATCTATATATCTATAAAGCTTCAAAATGTGGATGACCTTATTTTCAGAAATACCTTGATATTTAAAATTATAAGATCAGTATGGATCCCTCCTTCTCTAAGATCTCTGAGTGACTGGCTAGTGTGGCATAGTAGGGAAAACAGGTAAGAGGCAATGAAAAAGAAGTATTTCCATTTAAAGAATAATACACTTACCAAGCCAGAAACTGCAGCAGTGGATGTTGCTATTGCAGGTATAATTTTACCAGCTATGCGCTTTGTCTTAAAACGGTCAGCTGGTTCAATGCTATACATTTTGGCACGAAGGTTTGATGCAGCTGTAATGAAATCTATGTGTCCATTATGTTCATCATCTTTCTCAAATGAAAGCACTGCCATCTGAAGATCACCTGATCATAACCAGAAAAATAAAGTTTTGTAGTAATTTGTAAAGGTTTTATTAGGTAATAAACAATGTGGATTCGTTATCCTTAAATATTCCTTTACAAAATACATGAAAAAAATCCAGAAAGATGAAGTTATTGAAGGATATGAAAATGATGGCTGTGATATCACTAAATCAGAGAAATTTCTATATTAAAAAAAAATCTTTCTAAAAAACAGAAAATAAGAAAGCCATATATCACATCTGCTATTAAGTGGCTTACAAATAAAGTTAACATTGGGTACTGTACTAAAATTGTTTCCATAAATACTATTCTAAACATTTTGCCCTGTTAACTAAGTACAGGGTCAGTGAGTCTAATACAAATATGTATCTGTTTGTAATATTTCTAGATTAGTGATTTCAAAAATCATTCTGTAGGTAGGGCAGCCTGGGTGGCTCAGCAGTTTAGCACCGCCTTTGGTTCAGGGCGTGATCCTGGAGACCCAGGACTGAGTCCCATGTCAGGCTCCCTGCATGGAGCCTGCTTCTCCCTCTGCCTGTGTCTCTGCCCCTCCCCCTGCCCCGCCCCCAATCTCTCTCTGTGTCTCTCATGAATAAATAAATAAAATCTTTAGAAAAAAAATCATTTGTAGATAGGTGTAGTTTGATCTGTTATAAAAAAGAGAAAGTAAGAAATGGTATTTTCCTAGAATTGTAACATACCTGTATTTTATTTACAAAATAAACAGTTGGCTAACCTAGGTTATTTCCTGAATTTTACTGGTTTGTACATAAAAATCCTGAAGGTCTGGAAACTGCTGATTTATGTAATAAAGCATGGTAAGCAGTTCTAAAAACATAGCTAATGGCTTTGTTTTTAAGGAATACAACTTTGGTTTTCTTATGTTTAAAACCATTTAGCAAGGATGTATGCAGGTCAAGATGTATTTCCCATGTATAACTAAGGAGACTAATAAGCCAGAAGAAATCTGTCTATGGCTTTTTATCCTTAAAGTGATAAAACTGGCTTGTGTTGGTCTATATGGAAACTCCATTTTTTTGCTCTTTATGCTGGCCATGAGTTAAAAAGGAATCATACAGTAGAATCCCAAGGACTACACCAGTTAGAACAATGACAATAAAGCAGATAATACATTTCTGAATAGCAATTGAAGGTAGGGCAAAAGGTGACAAATAATGAATTTAGTCATAGTTAAAGATGAACAGTGACTTTCATATGATCGTGAAATCAACTAACATTGTTATTATAGTTATTATTTAGTCCCATAAGCTTTTGGGTGTAGAGTTTATTGATCATATAAATTCCCTCTAGTTCAAAGCATTTTTATAAAGATTTCCTCTTACTTGTGGTAGCTTTATTAGATGAAATAGTCTTTTCTAGTTGGAAAACAGCATTCCTCTCATCTTCATTGCTAATAGGAACATGGTCTGGTTTCCTTGCAGTTTCATCTGTTTGAACAACCTTTAAATACATGGACATATATTCACTATTGTTATCATAGCCTGTACTTAAGTCTGATTTCCATATCTTTTTTACCAAATAAATCACACAGAGAAGATATTCCCTCTACCTAGTTTAATCACATTATTTTTTATACAATGTTTTAAATAACTGAAATATACAAGAAAAATCCAGGAAAATGAAGTTATTGAAGGATATGAAAGTGATGGCTTTGATATCACTAAATCAGGCATGGAGCCTAATACAGGGCTCAGTCTCACAATCATGAAATTAAGACCTGAGCCAAGATCAAGAGTCACTTAACCGACTGAGCCAACCAGGCCCCCTGCTAGTTTAATCATATTAATCACTATGGCCCAGAGCATTTTACAGCTTCCATTGCTAAGTAATGTTATTTACATATTTATTATGTATTTCCTTACACTGAATGTCAACTCCTAGAAAAGTGATCTTTATCTTGTTCACTGAGAGAAATTCAATATATTTAAAACAAATTATCTCGTGTTAAAATATTTACTGAATAGCTTACAAGATCTGTATTTATATAGATCTCTTAAAATTCCACAGTAGAATGAAGTTAATATTTATCAAGAGTCTGCAATTCTGAGAAATCTACTTCAAACCAAATTGTATAGCTCTAACTGGTGCAGAGCTGTTTTCTGTCTCCAAAGAAATCCATAAAATAGATAATATGGACATCCTTTAAATAATTACTGATTGCTGATAAGAAGTTGTTTCCGAAAGAATAAGTCTTCCTTCATATAGATGTATGCTTAGAGCAGCACCATCTAAGTAATTTATCTTTAAGAAATTACTTACTAGACATTCCACAAGGGCAGTAAATAACAATTTCATACAAAAAAAACTATCTGCATCATCGCTAATTAAAAATACTATTTCTTGGGAATGCCTGGGTGGCACAGCGGTTTGGCGCCTGCCTTTGGCCCAGGGTGCGATCCTGGAGACCCGGGATCGAGTCCCACATAGGGCTCCCGGTGCATGGAGCCTGCTTCTCCCTCTGCCTATGTCTCTGTCTCTCTCTCTCTCTGTGACTATCATAAATTAAAAAAAAAAAAAAAAACTATTTCTTTTGTACAGTGCACATTCAACTTACATTTTTATAGATTAAGTATTATTTTAAGTATTTAAGAAATAGTAAAGAGTCAAGGAAACAGAAACTTCTGTTTTCCAGAATATCTAGTTGGTATTTTTGGCATCTTTTAACAAGGGCTAGACTTTGAAGCTTTGGTGTGAGTTGCTTCAGGAAGGTGTGAAAAGCTCATAATTCATGTTAAAACTAAAACTGTAGCTAAATGGCTCAGGATAATTTATTACCCCAAAACTTTGATAGAGAAAGAAGCAATTCAACGCATAAAACACTGAAGAGCAATAAAGATTAGTGAAGTTATTGATACATGTTTCTTTGGCTTGTCTAGCAGTTCTGTTTACTAGAAACATGCGTTAGGAACTTACTTTTTAAAAAAAAACATTTGAACATACTTGACAATGTTAAGTTACTTTCATGTGTACAATAAGGTGATTCAATTTCTCTATAATTATGTGATGATCACAAGTGTTACTACCATCTGTCACCATACAATGCTATTACAGTATCATTGACTATATTCCCTATGCTGTGCTTTCTGTTCCCTTGACTTATTCATTTCATAACTAGAAACTCCTTTACATAGGAATTCTGTTTACCTTTCTGTTCTTCTATTCTTGATAAGCTGTAAGTCATGAACATTTCATTCAGCACACCCATTTATTTGTATAAAATCAAACAGCTACAAATTTTCCTTTTCCCTAAAAAGAAGTGCAGAATGGCAGCTGCACACATCACTTCCTGCTTGAATTTTATAGGGAGGCAATCATTATTCCATATTTTTCAATATTACTAGAGTATAAGGGGAACAAAAGATTGTTTTGTAGATGATTTTTAGAGTGTTTACAAAAAGGCATATAATGAACATGTGAAAAAGAAAAATACTTAGTATTTTCAAACTTTTCTATTTATCCAGCCTAAATTTCACATTCCATCTTTATTAATACTGCTTATCTCTTTCCTTCCAACATATTTGCCCTATAAAATTCCAGTCCTAGTTATATCCAATTTTTCAGCTATTCTATGGCAGCACTCAGGCATCTAAATGCCTTTTTTCTAGCCACATTTATGTAATACATTAAGTAGACTAACATTAAATGGATTCTCAATGCTGTTTCAAAATTCTACTACGTCTTCTAATAACTGACTTTCCCATCCCCTTGAGCAGTTTTTTTCACACTTTATTTTTCCCTCTGCTCAAACTTCCTTTAATTTCTTTTCCTCCTCACCTGGAGCTGCTATCCATGCTTCTTATTTCAACTAAGAAAATAATAATCTTTTTTCTCTTACACTCCAATTCCAATCCCTGTCAGGACAACATACACCAGACTCCAATCGCTATCATAAATTACCTTTTACCTACTACTTCATTCAAACCATCATCATCTTTTGCCTATAACCTAATAGTTTTTCATGCTTCCTTTCTCATGCCCTATATAGTCATTCTTAACACACCAGCCAGAATCATCCTTTTAAATATAAGCCAGATTATGTCCTCTGCTTAAAATACTTCACTGGCTTCTTATAATAAAATATTAAATACTTATCATAACCCCAAGTATCTCTCCTATCTCACTGTCTACCACTCTTCTTACATACTCTCCTTCAGAAGAATCCTCCTTCAAAGTCTTTCAGGGCTTTTCTCTGACCTTGTTCCTGCTTGTGTGCATTATTCTTTCACCACATAATAGCATGGATCACTCTATCACTTCCTTTAGGCTTCTGCCCAAATGGTACTATATCAGAGGCTTTACCTTTAGCCCACAAAAAATGACACCAGCTCCATCACCCTTTACTTCTTTTCCTTGTTTTTAATTCTTAGCACTATGCCCATATTGCAGTATTACAATAATAGCATTTTTTTAATAGTCCGCCTCTCACCCAACAGACTATACTTTCATAAGAGCAAGAATTTTGTTTTGTTCATTGTGGGATTCTCCAGGTTTAGAATGAGACTTGATACAAGTAAAAGTTCAGTAACTATTTGCTGAGTGAATAAATTTCCAAACATACCTTGTTAGAAGGTTTGAATTCTTGAATCTTTACTTCAGAAAGAATATTCAAGAGGGCATCTGCTGATAAGTCCTGTTTTTTTAAAGAGTTATCTTGTGAACATTTGTTTTTTAAAATTCTGAATTCTAAAGCTAAAAAATCCTAAAGAGATCCTTTATCATACTAAATTTGAATAATTTATCATATGACTATTTAGACCATATCCATTTGTGACATTTACCTTTATTCTATAGAAATACCATTCATATAAAGGCTGGGAGGCAAGGGTGGTGTGTGCAAAAAATTCCTTACTACTCAATGAACTTGAAATCTTAGTTCTTTCCATAAATTTTTAAAAAGATAGTTTTAGGACTGGTTGTATCAGACTGAGTGCTCTGCGATCAGGAACCATCTCGTCACTGTTTTATAAACTTCCCCGCACAAAGTTATACTTGATAAATACGGACTCAATAAATGAAATATGTAAGTAAATGGAATTCATACCTTCGGAAGTAGAAAAATATTTTAATGGTTCAAGATGAACTAAGATGAATTTATTAAGGCTATCAGATCTATATCCATTTTTAAGCTCCTTAGGAAAAACTGAGACATACTGCTTTTGATGTCACCTACATTCTTATCACAGAATTGCCACTTTTTTTTTCGAAAAAGAATACCAGACTGAATGACACTATTTTAACCAGACATTTATGGTATATTTTACCATTAACTCCAAAAAGGATTAATTTACACTAGGCATTTTTATCTGGATCCAAATAGCCAGTGTTAATTATGGCTCTAGTTCGTATTTGCCCATTTAGCCTACCTAAAAGTATAGCAATTTATTTGGTTCTATTTTGCATCTGTGAAGAAAAAATCACTAAGGCAGATCTGCCTTTCAATTAAAACTATATTAGATGCTTTAGATAATAGTCAATAAAGATCTCTAAAGAAATAGGTAGGATAAAGGTTAAGAAACCTCAACATGTGATAGTACAACAAAACAAGAAGTTTACGTTAAAGAATGATTCTTGTAACATAAAAACATATTTTGATGATGCAATTAGCTGGCAAGTCATCAAGTTTTTACCTGGTTTTGTATCAGTTCCTAGAGCCTGAAGGTTATCTTTCTTACCTCTTCTGTAAATGGAATGCAATAGACTGCAGCATACAGTTTTGCAGCATTCAGAAGAAAACTGAAGTGCCTTTTGAAATTAAAAATACGACAAAGTGTGAATGCACAGTTTCAAAGATGCTTAATTCACCAAAACTATATCTTTTGAAATGCTGAAGAAAAATAATCACAGAATTTTCGTTACAGGAATATTTAAAAGTTAGGCAATGAACTTCTGGTCTAGATGAAAAGAATTACAGAAGCTTTAAGAAACATTAAATGTTCATCCTTCTAAGTAGTAATATTCAGAAGATGATCATGATTACTTTGGGGAGAGGAGTGGCAAAAAGTAGAAAAATTAGACTAGTGAAAGAAAATTCATTTTAACTCATAAAAAATGAGAAATTTGGTGTAAAAGAACATATATTAGGTTCAAATTAAGCAAATGAGTTCGTTTAAAAACACAAGGGAAGTTTTAAAGGAGAAGTAGTCAGGATAAGGGGACTGGAAGCCTAACATAAGCATCAGATGAGAAAACTAAATTAGAATTATTTGTTGAAAGGAAGGTTGACAAATTAAGTGCTTAATTGAAATATATACATATAAATATGGGTGTTTGTGCGTGTGTGTATAAATGTCTATCTAATATAGATATGGTATACAGGTATTCATTCAAACTCAACTATTTTAAAAATTAATTTGAGATAATTTAGGGAGACAGTAGTAATCATTTTTCCTTCTGTATCACTAAAGGTCCTTAAATACTGGCTCTACTTAACAGGAAAACATTTGTTGTTATTTTATGGTTTTTTCTTATGGATAAAGTCAAAGAGGTAATACTTTGCTTTCACTTAAGATAAAAATAATGAAGTTATTTTACTATCTAAATAAACAGATTCACATATATGTGAAGGACTGTGGCTGGCTTTGCTGGACAGACTAATATGCTAAATAACTCTTAGATAAAGAGGGATGCAATAATTTAACATTTACAGAGCCTGAGGTTTTTACACTATAAACAAATACATAGTTAAGAAATTTACAATAAAGGATGCATACAAAACTAGAAACAAATACTTACAAAGGTTCATTTAAATCAAATTTTATTGGAGAAGGGGGCCTCTTTGGTGACTGCCAAAACAAACCTAACAGAATATACAGATATTATTTTCATTATAGACACTTAGAAATAAATTATATTAAATGTTCTTCACAAGACTTGGTCACACTTACTGCCATCTTTTAATCTTGTGTCTAGAGGAAAACAGTGAAGAAGCTGAAGAGCCTAAAGAAGAATATTTAAAAAAAATCACTATTCAATATTATCTGAGGTAAAAAAAAAATAAATAAAAATGCACAAGAAGATATACACTGAAGCTTCCAGCTACCCTTATATTCCCTATCTCCATTTTCCTTGTCACTGCCCCTCATACCTGTAATAACCTCTATTGTTATTTTCTATCAACATACAGTTTTTTTTTGCATCTACAGCAAACATATACATTACTTAATCACTTTTTATACAAATGGTGACTTATTTTACATAATTCTGCTCCTTTCAAAGAGCTAAACCTTAAAGCAAAAATGAAACCAGTAAAAATATACAGTATTTTGTATTTTGAAATGATAAATGATGTTTGAGATTTCCTTCAAAACCATCTGGGGAGAGTATGTTGGGAGGGTATATGGATAAAACAAGATTATCTACAAGTTGGTAAATGTTCAACCTGGGTGACAGATTTGTGAAAATTACATGGGGGTTCATTATGCTATTTTTTCCACTTTCTATGGTTAAATTTTTCCATAATAAAAAAGCTTTTAAAAAAAGGTATAAAAGGTAAGAGGACTAAAGAGAGTACTTTGGATTTTGAAACAAGGAGTCATTGATAATTATGGTAAAAATAATTTGAACAGCAGTGGAGAAAGAAGACATATCTATTGAATGAGGAAGTAGCAATAGCAAGTATAAGATCACTCTTCTAAGCAGCAGAGACCAGAAGGAAGTGAAAAGCAAGGATAAGTGAAATCAAAAGACTTTTTAAAAAAGAAAAACTTACTTATATTCTGATAGGTAACAGCCTAAAGAGAGGGAGAGACTCAAGAGAGTGCAGGACACATTCTAGCAATTTTAAGTAATGGGAGAATAACAGCTAATATTTAGTGAGCACTTATAGGCTAGGTTCTGCTCAAAGTGCTTTACATGTAATTCACTCATTTGATGCTCACACTAGCCTATGAATTACATGCCAATTTATTATGCCCATTTGACAAATGAGGAAACAGACCAAAACAGACATAAAATACAATTTTGGGTATCGGTGGGCAAGGCAAAATTCAACAAAATTTCTGACAGTATCTCTATTTTCTCAGTTTCTTGCTTTATTCTGAATAATAAACTTTTAGACTACTAGTGAAATGTATTCCTTATTCTCTAAAGGGAACCTCTACCAGAAACCCAATTTGCACACAGAAAAGATAAGGATCAAGTAAATGTATTTCTGACAAACTAATGGATGGAATATGTGTATTCTTTTAACATTCAAAGAGCAACTAGCTATGTGCCCTGTGCTTGTTTTCACTTAATTTACTACTTATTTCTGAAAAGATTCTTGAATGAAAAAGATGTTTGGTCCAGTGAAATTAATTTGGTAGCAATTAAATTATCAATTAATATGTTATAATGCATACTTACCTTATGGTTAAAATATTTTTCAAACTTTAACCTTGCTAACTCTACACACTGGGACCAATTTCTAGGTCTTCTGCTAAGTAACTTAATAACTTGAAAACAGCCTTCTAAACTGTGTCCAGTTTGTATCTTCTAGAATGAAGGGAAAAAAACAAAATAAATACATTTCCAATTAAACACACAATACCCATCACTCACCCATATCATTACTGGGAAGTATTTTTTTTTAAAGATTTTGTATTTGATTATCTTGAGGAAAGAGAGCAAGAGAACACGAGAGACAGAGAGAGGGCAGAAGCTAGGGGGAGAAGCAGAGGGAGAGGGAGAAGCAGACTCCCCACTGAGCTGGCAGCCTGATGTGGGGGTTGATCCCAGGACCCCAAGATCATGATCTTGGCCAAAGGCCGACATGTAACCAACTGAGCCACCCAGGCGCTCCTATTCCTGAGAAGTATTAGCCAAAGTTTGAAGTGCCAGCTCACGTGACCTATAATTTTAGTATTTTTACCATGAGCTCCCTTCCATGTCCCTGCCTTTTTCTTCTTCCTCTTTTTTTTTTGGAGGGAGAATGGAAAAGGACAGCACATGAAATTTCAGCTGTAATTTCTTTCTTTTTTTTTTTTAAAGATTTTATTTTTTTATTCATGAGAGACACAGAGAGAGAGAGGCAGAGACACAGGCAGAGCGAAAGGAGGCTCCATGCAAGAAGCCCGATGTGGGACTCGATCCAGGGACTGCAAGATCACATCCTGAGCTAAAGGCAGACGCTCAACCACTGAGCCACCCAGGCGTCCCTCAACTGTAATTTCTTATCTGACAAGTTATCCTCATGTCTAGCTAGCTGCTAAGTTGTTGGTATTACATATGTACTTAATATAATAAGTGCTTATAAATAACATTTTATTTATACTAAAAAGTTAGCCTGTTTAATATAGGAATAAGGAAAAGTAAGAAAATATCTTTAAAGTTGCCCTCATCATGAAGACTATTAAGTCTGAGAGATTACTGTCCACTAATGAAATTTTCATTAGAACTCACCTCAGTTTTTTTCCAAAGAGTTTAACAAGTTATTTTATTATTTGTAGCTGTCAATATTATTACATCTTTCTTAGGTTGAATCATATGAACTCCTGTTCATACAAACTTAAAAAATGGGGTTATTTGTGACTTGCTAATTTCAAGATTCCTCATGTACTTACTATGTATAATAATGATGCTATAATCCTTCTTTAAAGAGGTGAAACAAACTATAGGCAATTTGCAAATAAGATTACACTGAGACAGTGTTGAGATTATATTAAAATGTATTGATTTTTACCTGTAGCACCTCTTCTGCAGATGGATAGGTTTGCCAAAATTTGTTAAACAATGCAGGCTTGTGGGAAAAAGAACTTTCAAACTATAAAGGAAAAAAAAGTTACAAATAGAAGTCTGTTTTAAAATTGGAAACATCTTTTCTACTTCAAATTAAAATTTCTTAAAATAAAGATCTTTATTACCTTATCTCTTGCCCACTGTATAGTATGTTCAATAGCAGCTGGAAAGGATTTTAGAGTACAAAATGGTATTTCCTCTTCTGGGGGATCCCGCTGATTTGTAAAACATGACAATAGATAGTTAAGAAAATTAAAAAAAGAAAAAAAAGAAAATCAATGGCAATTTTTCATTGATTGAATTTACTTGAATGTTTTAAGACCATTAAAAAATGGTTTTGAGTGTTTTATGACCATTTAAAAAATGAAATAATAAATGAATCCAATATTTTTAAATCCTCTTTCTCTTAGGCAAGTAAGAGGGAAAAATGGGTTTTTTTGACACTTACTCATTTGTTAATAGCAATGTCACAAAAAAACATGAATTTTATTACAACTTATTACCTGTGCACTTATTTGGTACCATGTGGTACTTATGGCAGGTTCTCACATATAATTAATATTTTCTACAAGAGTTAAGGTGACATTGAAAACTACAACATTCCCTACTTTGAAAAGTAATTCAAGAATTCTCCAAAATTGTGCTCAGCATACCATGAGTTTCTTTCTCCAAGGAGAAAAAAATTTAGGAGCAGGGATCGTATGTCCTTGATGCTTCATACAGTTTCATAAGAAGTGTGTTTTAAATAAACAACATATCAAAAAGAATGAAATGTTGACATTGCAATGACATGGATGGAGCTGGAGAGCATTATGCTAAGAGAAATAGATCATGCAGAGAAAGATATATACCATGTGATTCCACTTTTATGTGGAACTTAAGAAACCAAACAAATGGGAAAGGAGAAAAGAGAGAGGCAAAGCACGAAACAGGCTCTTAATTACAGAGAACAAACTGATGGTTACCAGGTGGAGGCAGATGTGGGGATAGGCTAGATAGGTGATGGGGATCAAGCAGTGCACCTGTGATGAACAACAGGGTGGTGTATGGAAGTGCTGAATCACTATATTGTACACCTGAAACTAATATTACACTGTATATTAGCTAACTGGAATTCAATAAAAACAAAAAAACAACAAAACAACAACAAAAAAAACAATTTAAAAAATTAAATTAAAAAAATTTAAACCATTAAAAATAACTTTCAAAAAAGAAAGAAAAAAGAAATGGTAAATGTCTATACTGTCTCATGTAAAAAAATACCATTAAAAAGACCCTTTTTCTATTACATTTGGCTTAGGCGTATTTTTTTTTTAAAGATTTTATTTGTTTATTCATGAAAGACACAGACAGAGAGGCAGAGATATAGGCAGAGGGAGAAGCAGGCTCCCAGGGAGCCCGAAGTGGGTCTTGATCCTAGGACCCCAGGATCACGTCCTGAGCTGAAGGCAGATGCTCAACCACTAAGCCACCGAGGTGCCCCAGGTTTATTGGTTTAATCAATCTAAAATGACTCACTTTATCTCTTCTTACTTAGAGATTTATATTTCAGTTTGTTTATGTGAAATACCATAAAATATTTTATAAACCAAAGAGGGAAGCCAGAAGAGAATTCTATTTTTTCTAAATATAAAGTCAGACAATATAGTAAGAGGCTTGGGAAAAATGTGGTAGAATAACACAAAGAACTTTTAGAATTTTAACAACATTCTCTATTTTGAAAATCTTCCAATATGACTTCAGCATATCATGATTTTCTCTAATTTCCTTCAAAATAAACTTAGAATTTTGTCTACTATAATGTTCTTACTATATAAACTTTGGATTTCATGAGAATGGGAAAACATTTTATAAAAATTTAACAATTTTACTAAAGCAAACATTATGAAATAAAGTGATATTTACACTTGTAAAAAAAATTCTTTCCATTTTACAACTTGGGTTTATCTTTTTTAAAATCATAAAGACTATATATGTTTCCCAGGCCAGTGTTTTTCAACTTTGGCAGTATATCAAAATCACTTGCAGAGGTTAAAAAAAAGTGACATCTATATGCTTTACATATATAGATGGCTTGGTTTCCTCCCATGGAACAACTGAGTCTTCAATAAGATTTTGGATGGGTCACCAGTTCAAAGGTTGTTAGAAAACCAATCAAGCACCTCTGAGAAATAAACAGTAAAGACAAGAATGAGATTGCAAAACACCAGAAACAAAATTTTGATGATTTAAAAATTAAGTTCAGTTCTCTTTAAAAAAATGCATATGCATATATGCAAGGAAATTACTGACAGATTAACAGATTAGGAAAGCTAAATCAAATCTGCTAATGAAGAGAAAAAAAATGATATATAAAAATTATGAGATATAAAGAAGATAAACATTTACTTCAAAAACTCAGTTCACTTACATGACTATTATAGGATTCAGTTAAATGAGGAACAATAACTTCAGTGTGTCCCTTAGTGCCCATTGTTCCAGAATCTAAGAGGGGTCGTAGATTTGCTAAGCAACGGCTATTTGAAAAGATAACAGGTAACAAACATTTAAGTGAGCAATAACAATGTAAGCAGAGGACATCTCACCACCTTCTGTTAATCATTTCACACACTGATCACTTCTGGACGTAGTATCTCAGGAAACAGATACATTACCACCAAATAATGCATTTATCATTTCTGTCCCGCTCCTCCCACAAATTTTGTTGCCCAACCTCGTAATTTTTTGTCTGTTTCTTCTTCTTTGACTACTACTAAATTTTTGGCTTCAACTTTCTTTTACTCTAGGTTAACTCTTAACTAATGTACTGCATCCCTTCTTCTCTTGCTTCCTATTTCTTCTTTGGTTATTTCCTGCCTACAAATTCTGTTCTACTGCATCTTCTCAATGTTATTTTTCTCCCAAACAACATTAATCTTCCTCCTTAATACGTTCAATACCTATATTCTATACATGTTAATTTCTTAAAGTTTTTATTCTTCCTCTGCCCAAGATTACCAACTTTCCACTACACTCTCCACTGGTAAATTTTCTTCTGTTAATAAATCTGTTCTCTAACCCTAACATTAGAGAGTCATATAAAGAGGTAAGGAAAATTATGTAAGGTGTACACATTATAGTCACTCATTCATCTACTTATTTAACAATATTTCCTGAATGACATATGTTGGGCACTGACGATACAGTGATGGGAAAATAAATGGTCCCTGAATAAGTGATTTAGTGAAGAAACAAATACCAATTAGTGTATCAATAAAAATAAGCACTATGACAGAAAAAACAGAGTGCTGTGAAAGATTACCATAGGAGAATCTACAGAACTTAGTGGTTGAATAAAGTCTGTTTAAATAAAGACATTCGGGATGCAACTGAAAGATTGGGAAAAAACAAAAATAAAAACAAAAACTAAAGTAGGTAGATTTGGAGTCAAGATTGTTAAAACAAGATAAACAATTTCCTAATCTGAAGGAGATTATGTACAAGTCTTTGAGGTGAAAAAGTGTTGGATGCCTTATAAAAAACTGAAAGAAGCAATGTGTGGCCAGAATGACGGAGCCAGCAAAGATAGGTAAATTTTAAGCTAAAGTGGTAGCAGATGGCAGACACTCCATGAAAAACATTTAGGCCATGTTAAAGATTTTGAATTTTATCTTAGGTATAATGGAAAATCATAAAAAGGATTTGACAGAAATACAAAGAATGATCAGAAAATTGGGTAACTTTTTAATAAATAGGTGTGGAAAAAAGTGAAAACAAAAGAAAAAATTTTTATGAGCCTGCATTTCAAGAACATACCTGTCTACATATCTCCTGGCTTCCACATTATCTAATGCTGTAATAATTATATCTTGTTTAGTATAGAACTCGTCATTGTAAATAGCCTCAGTGGCTGGACATACTTTGTTCAAGTGTGCGTCTATCTTTAATTGAGGATTTATTTTCAGGGTTGCATCCGCAGCAGTATAGCTTTTAGGTTTCTAAACAAATAACAAATAAAAACAGAAGAAATAAGTGTTAAACAGAAAAACTAGGCCGTGAGTGAACTTACCACATATTTTATATGAGAGTAATGAGGCCAGCTTTCACTTTCATTTGTGGAAATTACATTCATTATAGTCATATTACATTTAATAATCCAGATTAGTCTGAATAATTAATACATTATTAATGGAAATCTAAACAGCCTCTATCTTAACTACTATGTGCTTTAGAGTTCTTAAAATATCAATTATTAATAGTGTTTTTCCTAGTATTAAGGTCTGAACTTGCTAAGTGCCTAGGAAAAAATCAGAACATGTTCAGTAAAATATTAGAAATCATAACTGCAGAAGAGGTATGGGAAGTTAACACTTTGGTACTGAAATCTTACAAAAATATTAGTATTTCTAGATGGAAATATTTTAAAAATTATTATATATGTTTGTTTTATGAGTTATCCTGACATGTTTTTACCTCTTAATGCTGTTAAGTACACAAATTGTAAACTCTGTTGGATCAGAGTAAAATTAAAACAAACAAGCAAAAAACAGGCTTTAAAAGTTTTTCTGTAAGTAAAATGCAGAGTGAATGAATTGTGTGACATATATTTTGGTTCCTGACAGACACTGTTAATTCTTTTGTGTGTTTGGATTGGTGAGGCAATTATGCCACCTACTTTAGTAGTTACTTTTCTGTTAATGACATTCCTTAGTTTACCAAGATTATCGATGCACTGTTGAGCAATAAAGTGCAAAAACATTTCTAAAGTAAAAAGTATGTTTGACTAAAATCCTTTTCTTAAATATTTTGATCTCTATGAAAGACTGAAACCCAGCATGATTTTACAATAAAGAGGATGTTTAATGGTCAAGCAAGATCAAAAAGCAAAAAATTCTAAGTGCCAAACTTCACTTATTGTGTAATAAAGACTCCCTTCCAAAATGTGTCAAATGTGGGATCCATTAAAGTTTTAAAGTCTCTGCATCCTTAGTTTCTTTTTTTTGCTTACATCCTTAGTTTCTAAGATTAAATATGCAGACACACCTTCATTATAAAATGGAAAAAAATACTGCCCATGATTCACAACTTAGATTTTAAATCCAAAATCAATGCAAAAAAAGTTTTTACATCAGAAAATAATTTTATATTTGTCCCAAATGTCATTCCCCATGTTTGATAATATAAGAGATTCTAATAAAATAAAAACACATTATACTTGTTCAAGTACCATATTTATAAAAAGGAAACTCTCTTCTTTTTGGTGTAGCACAACAGATGACTTAAATTTGAAACAGAGTAGCAACAAACCTGTATGTGGTGAGGCCGGAATAGGAACTGTCTATTCAAGTTGGATTTTTCTATCAAGTCAGGATCTGTAACTGTAACCTAATGTGAAGAAAAGAAAAAAGCTGAAATTGTGTAAGAAAAAAAAATTTAAATCTATTTTGCTTTGCTCAGAAAGACTAAAACAATTCCAAGTTATTCTGAATTATCTTAGCTGTACAAGTAATTAGAATACAAACATCCCAATGGTTACCAATATTAATATTTTTATATTATGTTTAACTACAATTAATGTTTAGCCTAGGAACATGTCAAACAAAACAGCTGAAACTGATGACAGTTCCTGTTTGAAACTTTTTTCTAATTATTCATAACCAAAATAAGAGACTAAACACCACATTTTAGAAACATGTGATGGATTAACTATAGAGAAGTTAGCTCTTCTTTCTAAACATTTATTTTCAATTGCAACAATCAATGGAAAGAATATCTGCAATGTTTCAATTTGAAAGGAACTCTTGCTAAAGCAGAGGTCTACAAACTACACTGCAGGCAGCCTGCCTGTTTTGTAAATAAATTTTGTTGGAACACTGTCATGCCATTTGTTTTAAGTACTGTCTATGGCTGTTTTCATGTCCTAATGGCAGAGCTGACCTGACTTGAGACAGAGATCCTTGGTTCACAAACCTAAAATAGTTGGAATCTGTTTAAGAAAAAGTTTGCAGATATTCTAAGGGATGCAAGATCAAAATAAACAGACCCAAAATAATCTGAAAAGTATTCATAATGCATTTGTCACTTATGTTAGTGTTTTTACAAGATCTGACTAGATCTTGATTATTTGAAACTTATTTTTCTTATTTTTTTTTTAAAAGATTTTATTTATCTATTCATGAGAGACACAGAGAAGCAGACATAGGTGGAGGGAGAAGCAGGGTCCCACTGGGGAGCCCGATGCAGGACTCAATCCCAGGACCCCGGGATCATACCCTGAGCCAAAGGCAGATGCTCAACTGCTGAGCCACCCAGGTGTCCCATTTCCTTTTCTATTTAATATTTTGGACATACGCTCAATATAGAAACACTTGTGAGTAACTGCAGCTTTTAGCTCAGGAATAAACTTCTCTCTTGATTCTTGAACCTGGGGATTTCTCTTTCCTTCTTTCCAGTTAGCTGGCTACATTTGTAAACACTATAAAAAAGAATAATTTATATAGCAAGTCTATGTATTTGCAGGACAGAGATCAGTGCACATTAACTTACTGTGTTTTTGTCACCTGAAAGCAGGATTGTTTACTATAGTACCTTTATATGCTTGTATGCATTATGAATTTCCAAGGAGTTAAGATACTCAAGTGATTCTCAAACTTAGGTAACCAAGAAGTTTTTTAAAGTAATACCTTTAAAAGGTATGGTTTTAAAACCCCTAGAACTAATAGTAGTTTGTGAAACACAATTTCAGAAATGCGAAGGCAGGAGAAATATGTGCGTATGAATATCTGTCTATAACAGTGATAGCAATGAATACCTTTTTTAAGTGGAATATTAAGCCAAGGTTACTAAACTATGTGAACTGGGGCATAAATTTAGGCATTTCATTACTTACTGTTAGTTACCATGATGAATCTATGAAATCACTACTCTGGGATGCTAGTTTATATATTAAAGGCAAAACAAATTAGTGAAATATATTTTTATTTAAATATGACACGGCTTCCCAATTAACTCATTTATCATCTTAAGAAATTAAATTGTACACCAATATTTACATTATTCCCTTTTCTTTTGATAATCACTAATTGAAACTGTATCTGAGAACTCTGCCACTAATGTTAGCTTCCATCTTAAAGATTTACTTAATAATAAGGAATATTAATAGAAATAACAATTCTAATGTGCTTTAAATAGTTTGCAAAGCCCTTTCACATTTTTTTTTAAAGGTTTTATTTATTTGACAGGAAAGAGAGAGAGAGAGAGCACAAGCAGGGGGTGCAGCAGGCAGAGGGAGAGGGAGAAGCTGGGAGCAGGGTGTGCAATGAGGGCTTGATCTCGGGACCCTGGGATCACAACGTGAGTAGATGGCAGATGCTCAACAGAATGAGCTACCCAAATGCCTCGCTCTTTCACATTTGATCTTCATAATTATATTGTGAGGTAAGAAGCAAAGATACCAGTTTCATAGTATTAGAAAGAAACAGAGTAGAGAGAATTAAAAGTAATTGGCCACAAGGTCACATAATTTTGAAAAGTGGTCAGAGCAGAATCAGAATCTTCCGATTTCTACTGTAATTCTGTCTCAAAAATTACTTATTTCAGATCTATGCAGTCATATACAGTACAAAAATGAGTAGCAACAAAAAAATTTTAACTCTCAAGGATTTGTATCTTACCATTCCTTTTTCTTTGCCTGTACCAACACCAAGTAAAGCAAAATTTTTTAACATTTCACAGCCTATGGCTCCACATCCTACCTATACAGAGGAGAAAAATAAAATGTATCAGATTAAACACAATTAGGACTACTTACTAAAGGGAAATGTCAAAAAAAAAATAAAGGGAAATGTCATCTTAATCTTCTTCAAATACCGATTTGTAATATATATACTTTTTAAAATAATTTGAACATTTGTGATTCATTTTACTTTAAAATACCTAGCTAGTTTATTGTGTATGCTATTATAACTGTTTCAGTTAAAGAAAAAAAAGGTATAAATCAAGTTAGGAAAAGTGTAATATTTACCATTCCTTTAAACAGAGGACATTTTAATATTCCAACAAAAGCCAACAATTGAGCTAATTATTTACATGAGACAGAAACAAATGCCACAAAACACCAGTACAATATTTTGATGGAAAAGATTTCTTGTTTATAATTTTCAAAATTCATATGATGAAGCTATCTATTCTAAGACTTTCTATGTGCATGTAAAAGCTCAGCAACAGCTGTTGATATTCAAAACATTATTTAAAAAACTATTACTATAAAATCAGCGGTATTTTCATGACTGAATAATAATAATAAAAAAACCATAAATGGCAGGAAAAGGGAGTTTTATGGTACTGGGGAGAGAGATCCTGCCAATGTATGAATTAAGACATTTAAAAAGACAGATTATATCTATATCTTCTTTTATTTGCTAGGAAAAAAATTTAAACAATGAAAAAAAAATCCTATCCCAAATCTAATTTTGAATGTATTTCTAGAAAATAATTTAATTTTCAAAACTATCATACATTTTAATTTTGAATGTATTCATTATACTAGAGGTTAGCAAACATTTTTTGTAAAGGGTCAAATAGTAAATATTTTGTTTTGTAGGACATATGGTGTCTTTTACAACTACTCACCTCTGCTATTAGAGCATGAAAGAAGCTACAGACAATACGTAAATGAATGGGTTTGACTGTGTTCAATGAAATTTTATTTACAAATATAGGCAAGCAGAATGGATTTGGCCTGTCTTACACTTTTACTGAAATGTCTACTCTGTCAGGAATTATACTTAGACTCAAATTTGCTTTAATAAATGAATCTGATGATAGACAATAGCAGTTAGACTGTACTACTTATTCTCATCATTATTTATACTTACTAAAAAGATATTCAACTTTTGTAGCTTCTGACACAAAGTGTCTCCAACGCAAGCTCGTAAGGCATCATATCTATCTCCTCTGAGGAAAGTAAAATATACCAAAAACCAGAAAAGCATAAAAAAAACATTATTAGAATTAGTTTTACTATTGTTAATACCAATTTAATGTTGAATTTTAAATAGAATACTCTGAGTTTCCTCCAATCTAAAAGAAAATTATCTTATTTGAAAGACAAAAACTCCATTAAGAACTCAGTTTTTTTTTTTCCATTTAACATCCTTTATCCAAATGACTTAAGTAAAGGTGACTTTATCTAGAAAAGACAATTTCCCAAAGTAGGGTTTTGTTTGTTTTTTGTTTTGTTTTTTAAAGAGAGAGCGAGTGTGTGCACACATAAACGGAGGGGGAAAAGGAGAGAGAGAATCTAAAGCAGGCTCCATACCCTATACAGAGCCTGAGGCCAGGCTAGATCTCATGATCCTGAGATCAAGTAAGGGAGTAATTTTTATTTTTAAGATTTATTTATTTGAGGGAGAGAGAGAGATGGGGGGGGGGGGAGAGTAGAAGCAGGAGAGGGAGAGAGAATGTCAAGCAGACTCTACACTGAATGTGGACCTGATGGAGGGCTTGATCTCACAACCCTAAGATCATGCATGACCTGAGCTGAAACCAAGAGTTGGACACTTAACACTTAACCAATTGCACTACCCAGGCATCCCAGGTAGGTTTTTTTTTTTTTAAACAATTTTATTTATTTATTCATGAGAGATACGGAGAAAGAGAGAGGCAGAGACACAGGCAGAGGAGAAGCAGACTCCATGCAGGGAGCCCGACATGGGACTCAATCCCAGGTCTCCAGGATCACGCCCTGGGCCGAAGGTGGTGCTAAAGAAGGTGGTGCTAAACTGCTGGGCCACTGGGGGTTGCCCCCAGGTAGGGATTTTTAATAAAGCTTCCTAGAGAAGTTTATGGAAGGGCTTTGGAGTTGCTAATACATTTAAATTGGAGGCAAAACTCTGGGAAGAGTGATTCTATAAGCTTTTATCAGATTCTCAGAGATTTGTGACTCAAAAAGATGAAGAATGACTGATATAAATAAAAGTTGCAGATAGCAATTGTTTTCATCTCAATTCAGAATAGTATTTTGAATGCTAACTATTCTCATGGCACACAATTTAAAACTTCATATTCATTATTTATAAAAAGGTAAAAAGTTATTACATTATTTTTACATTAACCTCTAAGTAGAGAAAAAAATTACGAGAAAAGACATCTGAAACAAATGGATATTCGGGTAAAAATTCTTCTAATGTAGCTGTCTCTTGCAAACATTCAACTAAGAGAAAAAGAAAAATTTCAGAATTACCGTGGGAGGAATTCTTCACGTTCAATTTTGTCTAGGGATTTGACAATATCTCCTGCTTCAATGTATAACTTTAAAGTAGAAGATAAAAACACAATTTACTATGTATAAACATTAAATTGCTAAAAAAAATTTTCTCTTCTGTATTTAAAAATCATTAAGAAAAAAATGATAAAAATGCCAACCTTGAGTAAAACAATATATTAAAAAATATTGTTTTTTATACAATATACATTCCTATATTACTTTATTAAAACCTGAAGGAACTGTTAAAAAGTCTAGTTTGATTCATGTCACCCATTTTTCAATTTTAGCACACATAAGGAAATTTCACCTCCAAATCTATTTATAATTCCATAAAAACTCTGGAAGCCTCATTCAATTTCAGTTACATTTGAATAAGTAATCTGATTATTTTTAGATAAGAAAGTACCAAATTTTATTTTCCATCTTCGGTATATTATGTCATTTATTACATATACCATAGAGGAAATGATCGAGGAAGCCACAATTATAGCATTAAAAAAAATACCAAAGAAATTAAAGTTAATTAAAAAAAAAAGAATTCACTCTCATTTTCATTTAGTAACTATGTGGCTAAATTTGGACATAACTAAATGGTTGTTTATTTAACTACAATAATATAGAATCTAATTGTTAATAACATACTTCCTCATATTGTTAACAGCTATATCTAAATCAGACATCTACAACTTAACTTGTACTCTTAAAATAAATCAAGTGATTCAGAGGCAAAATAGCATTATGTAGATACTTTTTAAAACACAAAATAGATAAATATTATATACAAAATGTGGGGATTCAAAAAAGAAAAGGCCTGAATAGTATCCTTTGATACCCTCTGCCAATTATTCTTTTTAGTAATAGAGAGGATTCTTTTTTATTCCTTCTTGAGATGTTTTTACCCCATAGAGTTCTCAAACTTACACTACTTCTATGCTTTTACCTTTAGAAGTTTAAACCTAGGAAGGGATTCAGAAGATTCCTGATGCCCAAAGATTCCATGGAACTGTTATCCCATGAATACTAAGCTAATAGTACTAGAAACTAAGTATAATAGTAGAAAATTCATTCCTTCACTCTAACAAATCAGGGAAATATACCCTAGAATGCAACTTTGGGTTATAGTCCAATAGCCTCAACCAATGATCTTGTCAGTTTTGATTAGAGAATTAAATTTTGGCGGCATATCACATCTAACTCACGCATCAAAAAATATTTAAGATTGCTTTTATATTAATAATTCAGAACAAAAAATAAAAACTTAATTCATAACAGATATTCATTGTATGGTTGGAAAATTTAATCATAAGTATAAAAAATATTAAAATACAAAACTAACCCATTGGCACAATGGAGAAAACTTTCCTGTTATGGCTTTCAATACTTCTTGGCTGGCAACACCTCCTACTGCTGCAGCAAGTGGAGGTAAAAAACCTTGAGCAGTCCAAGAGAGCCAATGCACAATGTCAGCATTTACTTCTGGCTGAAACACAAGTCATGAAAAGCAATAATCTTAACAATTTTTACACAGACACTCATAATTTCAACGGTTTAGTATGAGAATTACTAAATTACTATAACTTCTAAAAAAGTTACTCAATTTCCCTGCTAAACAGATTTTAAATGCTAAAGAAAGTTCCAATCTTACAGTAAATCTTACAATCTTACTGTATGTTAGTTACCCTAAGTATTTCTCTTTACCAGTAACTGCCCATATTTTTGCTTTCTGAATCTCTATGTTACACTAGGGCAAGATTTAAGATTAACGGGAATATCTAGCATTCACAATTTTTGTTAAAGACCAGATCTGTGATGTCAATCAACATCTATAAAAAACCAGAATTTTAAAAAATTGTTTTCATTTAATGAAAACTATGGGAAACCCTTAATCTTAAATAAATGAAAATAAAGATAAAATAATCTATAAAAATGATAAGGAGCTATCAGTCTGTGCTTGAAGTGGTAAATAAAAAGTAAAAGGGTCAAAAATAATGAGGCAATAGGTTGTTAGTAAAAAAAAATTGAGAATGGTTATTTTGCATACTCATTTAAGACCCAATCATTATGAAGTTCTCATTATCATACTTAAAAACTGACACGATGTTTCTTGAAATAAGATTTATTTAAGAGTATTTTTTTAATTTTTTTTTAATTTTTATTCATTTCATGATAGTCACAGAGAGAGAGAGAGAGAGAGAGAGAGAGAGAGAGAGAGAGAGGCAGAGACACAGGCAGAGGGAGAAGCAGGCTCCATACACCGGGAGCCCGACGTGGGACTCGACCCGGAGTCTCCAGATCGCGCCCTGGGCCAAAGGCAGGCGCCAAACCGCTGCGCCACCCAGGGATCCCTATTTAAGAGTATTTTTAAGGAAATACTGGAGAATTGGATTCTGGAACTATTGGTATAATTTCTTCTTTGTGAGGAAGATCTCTTCATGAGCTCTGGCTTCTCTTTCTATTCTTTCAACATTAGTAACCTTAATCTTAACCTTAAGATTCAAATAGGACTCAATGGATTTGAAATTGTATGTAAAATAAAACTTTTGCATTTAGGAGGAAAAGGAAGGGCTTTTATTACATTCTCAACGATATCTGTGATACAAAAAGAAGTTAGTATCTACTTACTATTCCACCCACTCTATTTCGGTGTTCTAGATTTCATTATTTTTCAACTATTTAGCACTAAACTCAAATTAGATTATGTTTTCATTTAAGCTGTGCCATTTGTGAATGCAGAGATACTGGTGGTAGTGATAATATTAAAAACAGTGATGAGAATGTGAATAGAAGCAGGTAATTTGAGCACCTACTGGGACTTGTATATTAAATTCACATGTAATTTGCAAAACAGTCCTAGGAAATATAATTTTTATCATACAAATTGGAAAACTATAACTTTGAAAAAGGAATTTAATTAAGATTTTATAGCTAATAGAATAGAATCTGAACTCAAAAAGTCTAACTTATCATTAGGTTACACTATCTCCCAAGATTCTATTATTTTTTAATTAACAAACAAAAAACCAAATTCGGGGAAATACTGGTGGCAGGGTTTTAGTATTACTAAGAAACAGAATATTATGAACTTCAAATTACCTATAAATAGAAAAGTACCAAACTCCAACAAAACTATTTTTGGATGTCATACTGTTGCAAGGCTGCACAGAGAGCAGGAAATGTGTAACCAAAGAAAAGAGAATGAAAGTTTTAACAGTGACAAATCATTCTGAGAAAACAGAAGGCCCTACACAAAGTGCAAAAAATACTGAACCACTTATGAAATCTAGCAGATCTCAGCACTGACTATGGTGAAAGAACTTATCTGGGAGAGAATGATGTAAATAAAAAGAGGGAGATATCCTTTGACATAGAAGGTTAAGATAAGTAAGAGAGTAAGTTAAGGATTTGACAGAAATCAGAGATTCACAAGACACTAATACCTATTCACCAAAAACAAAAACAAAACCCCATCCATTAAAGAATGGGAAAACCCCAAAAACCCAACCATTAAAGAAACCCCTTTCCAGTTACCTTAAGAGAATAGGGATTTTTAGAAGTAGCAATCTGAATAAGTATCCAAAACCCTTACCCTGCACCAAAAATATGCAGAAAAACCAATTTATATATCAAACTAATATAAGAAGGAAACAAAATTAGAATAAAAACATTTCAGCTACTGAAAATTTCTCCTCCAAACTAATCATAAGGCAGAGAAAATCTGACTGAGTGAATTATATATATATACATATCCTTAATGAATATTTGGGAGATGCGGGAAAATGAACATACAAAAAAAACCTCACCCAAATCAGAAATTTAATAACTAAGTACAAAAATAATCTATTCCATCAACAAACACCTCCCCTCAAAGGGATAAGAAATAGAATCTGAATCTATGTATCAAAATGGGCTCATAGTATATACTTGGGAAAACGGACTGAATGATCAATTCTGAGATATAAACAGGTAAAACTATTAACACTTTACAGATGAAAAAATATACAAAGTCACAAAGCAGAAAGACCAGACTACTTATAAGAATAAGAAAATTAAGCTGGCATCGTATTTCTCAACAATAAGATACAAAGTAAGATAACATTGAAGACAACAAGGCCTAGAATTTTATTTTTATTTTTTTCGTATTTTCAATTTTTTTAAAATAATAAATTTATTTTTTATTGGTGTTCAATTTGCCAACATACAGAATAACACCCAGTGCTCATCCCGTCAAATGCCCCCCTCAGTGCCCGTCACCCATTCACCCCCACCCCCTGCCCTCCTCCCCTTCCACCACCCCTAGTTCGTTTCCTAGAGTTAGGAGTCTTTATGTTTTGTCTCCCTTTCTGATATTTCCTACCCATTTCTTCTCCCTTCCCTTCTATTCCCTTTTATTATTATTTATATCCCCCAAATGAATGAGACCATATAATGTTTGTCCTTCTCCGATTGACTTATTTCACTCTGCATAATACCCTCCAGTTCCATCCATGTTGAAGCAAATGGTGGGTATTTGTCGTTTCTAATGGGTGAGGAATATCCCATTGTATACATAGACCACATCTTCTTTATCCATTCATCTTTCGATGGACACCGAGGCTCCTTCCACCGTTTGGCTATTGTGGACATTGCTGCTAGAAACATCGGGGTGCATGTGTCCCGGAGTTTCACTGCATCTGCATCTTTGGGGTAAATCCCCAGCAGTGCAATTGCTGGGTCGTAGGGCAGGTCTATTTTTAACTCTTTGAGGAACCTCCACACAGTTTTCCAGAGTGGCTGCACCAGTTCACATTCCCACCAACAGTGCAGGAGGGTTCCCCTTTCTCCACATCCTCTCCAACATTTGTGGTTTCCTGCCTTGTTTATTTCCCCCATTCTCACTGGTGCGAGGTGGTATCTCATTGTGGTTTTGATTTGTATTTCCCTGATCACAAGTGATGCGGAGCATTTTCTCATGTGCGTGTTGGCCATGTCTATGTCTTCCTCTGTGAGATTTCTGTTCATGTCTTTTGCCCATTTCATGATTGGATTGTTTGTTTCTTTGGTGTTGAGTTTAATAAGTTCTTTATAGATCTTGGAAGGGCCTAGAATTTTATATTCAGCCAAGTTGTCTTTCAAGTATGGAGGCTACCCAAAATATTTAAAATAGGTAAGAACTCAGAAAAAAAAAAAAGGAAATTCTGAGCTTTTCCTAAGAAATATACTAGAGGGGCACCTTGGTGGCTCAGCTGGTTATACGTCTGCCTTTAGCTCAGGTCATGATCCCTGAGTCCTGGGACTGAGCTCCAAGTAGGCTCCCTGCTCAGTGGAGAGCCTGCTTCTCCTTCTCCCTCTGCCCCTTCCCCTGCTTGTTCTATCTTGCTCTCTAATAAATAAATAAAATCTTAAAAAAAAAAAAAAAGAAATATACTAGAGACCAAAATTGATTTCAAGACTTAGCACTGAACTGTAGTAATCAAGATAGGATGGTACCAGCAAAAGGACAGAAATAACCAATGAAAGATATGAAAGATAACACTGAGTTCAGAAGTAGCCCTATGCATATGTGTTCAATAAATTATTGACAAAGAATACCCAGAATATTGAATAAGGAAATAATTATCTTTTCAACAAATGGGCTAAAACTGTTGGATATTTATTTATTTATTTATTTATTTTAAAGATTTTTAATTTATTTATTCAGAGAGAGAGAGAGAGAGACTGAGAGGCAGAGACACAGGCAGAGGGAGAAGAAGGCACCATGCAGGGAGCCCGACGCGGGACTCGATCCTGGGTCTCCAGGATCACACCCCGGGCTGCAGGCGGCGCCAAACTGCTGCGCCACCGGGGCTGCCCAAATTGTTGGATATTTATATCCAAAAAAATTAATCTTAATCTATGCCTAGTAAAGTATAAAAAAAATAAACTTCCAGAAGTACAAAACTATACCAAATTAATTCAAAATATAAGTTATGGTTACGTATACTTGACCTATAGTTTGTATGGTATGCAAAAATGAACTCACAAAACTATAAAAATTCTTGAAGAAAATACAAAAGGACAAAAGCTGTGATCTTAGATTTAAAAAAAGGTACAAACCACATACAAAAAATTTATACTTTTAAGTTTATCAAAATTAAAATCATCTCTTTAAAAATACACTGTGGGATCCCTGGGTGGCTCAGTGGTTTAGTGCCTGCCTTTGGCTCAGTGCATGATCCTGGAATCCCGCGATCGAGTTCTGCATCGGACTCCCTGCATGGAGCCTGCTTCTCCCTCTGCCTGTGTCTCTGCCTCTCTCTCTTTTTCTCTCTCTCTGTCTCTCATGAATAAATAAAATCTTAAAAAAAAATACACTATAATAAAATGAAAAGACAACCCAAAGACTGGAAGAGAATATGTGTAAAACATGTATCCCATACAGGATTGATAACTAGGATATAAAAAGAACTCTTACTCAACCTATCTAATTAAAAAGTAGACAGGGCAGCCCGGGTGGCTCGGCGGTTTAGCACCTGCCTTTGGCCCAGGGCCTGATCCTGGAGACGTGGGATCGAGTCCCACGTCGGGTTCCCTGCATGGAGCCTGCTTCTCCCTCTGCCTGTGTCTCTGCCTCTCTCTCTCTCTCTCTCTCTCTCTCTCTCTCTCTCTCTGTCTCTCATGAGTAAATAAATAAAATCTTAAAAAAAAAAAGTAGACAAAGATTTGAAAGGACAGCTTATCAAAGAAGACATAGTAGTGACAATAAGCACATGAAAAGATACCAAATTCATAATCATCAATGAAATGTAAATTAAAGCCAAAAGAAGATACTAACACACACACTTTAAAATGGCTAAAATCAAACAAACAGATAATATATACCGTTATGGAGAGAATACAGAGCAATTCAAACTCTCATACACTTCTGGTGGAAATGCTACAGCTATTCTGCAAAACAATTTGGCAGTTTCTTATAAAATTAAACATACATCTATCATTTAACTCTGTAATACACTACTAGGTGTTTACCCAAGAGAAATGAAAACATATGTCCATATCAAAATCTGTATGGATGTTTGTGGGAGTTTTATTCATAATTGTCCATATTAGAAACCCAAATGTCCACCAAATGTCCCCTGCTACAGGGGAAAAGAAATTGTGGTACATCTATACAATGGAATACTACTCGACAATAAATAGGAATGAGAATGCAACAACATGGATGAAACTCAAATCATTACATTTAGGAAAAGACTCCAGACTCAAAGGCTACATACTGCATGATTTACATGACATTCTAAGGAAAAGGCCAAACTATACTGGATGGATGGTTTGGCATTGGGGGGAGAGGGAGGTGATCATAAAGAGGTACGAGGGAATTTTTTGGCGTTACAAAAATGTTTTATATCTTGATGGTAGCAGTGGATACATGACTGTACACTTTGACTTAACTGTGTAGAGTTTAATCTCATACACAATTTTGTTTAATTCTGTATCTAAAAAGGGTGGAATTTAAGTTTTATTTCAATAAACCTGATGAATCCTTAATCCTATCCTTCCTTTTAATCACATACTTCATCAATCTATTTCTAGCTTTTCACACTTCTCTGTAACCACTAAATATGCATAAAAGGTCTTTAACTTGTGGTTAATGACTCACTGTTTTCAATACATTATTTCCTTCTTTGTTTAATCACATAAAATATGAGATAGTATACTTAACCACTAATGTTAATACTTTTCATTTCCTCATTTTTATAGTATAATAACAAAAAATTTTCAACTAATTGCACAAATACTTCTACTTTGTTATCTGCTAAAATGAAACTATTGGCCAGCAAGCATTGGCATCATAAGATGAAAAAACAATGTTCTAAGTGAAATGTCCAAACATAATATGCAAGATGAGACTAAGAGATATCAATATATAGTGGATAAAAGATTTATAGGAACACCTACAACTTTATATAGTGAGTTTCAGTGGGTTAACAAAGTAAATCAGAAGATAATATTAATATTAATGCTGTCTTAAAATACAGCAGCAGCAGCAACAAATAGTAATTAATATATGCCACATACTCTTTCTTCTAAAAACTAAAGCAGAACAAATTCAAGTAATTTGCCTACTATCAGAGTCAATAAGCAGCAAAACTGGGATGAGAATATTAATATAATATAGAATATATTAATATAATATATTAATATATTAATATATAGAATGTTTATATGTTACACCTTTTTTGATGGCTATAACTTTGAATATTCACCTTCTCTTCCAAGGTTTCACTTATAGATGTTGCTAGTTTCAAGAGTTCTTCTGAATCTTCTTGGCACCTAGGATTCAAAATAAAGTACCACAATTTCAATTTTCTCAAATGCTATAAATAGCAAGTCATATTCAAAACTAAAATTTAAGAAATATGTAAGGATAAAATAAAGTGGAATTTTGCCAGCCAGTTAGCATGAAGTGCTTCCCTGGCTTGAAGGTAACTAATTCATAAATACATTAATTAACAATCATGTTTACCTAAGGATAGGTAGTATATAAATAGGATTTAGTTTTAAATAGACAAGGCAAAATATTTTTGTAACAATACTTCTGTTTTGATAGGCTAGAAAGTAGAAAATACATAGTGGACTCATAATTCAGTAATTCTCAGATTTTTTTATTTTAAAAAGCTGTAGCTTCAGAAGACTTCAAAATGGGAAAATTCTTATTTAGCATAATTCCATTTTTATAAATTCATCTTTCCATTCCCACCAGAAAAAAGACCAGAGCTCATAATAATGTTTATACAGTTTAGTGTCTCTTATAATGTTGCAGCTATAAGATAGGGCTTTAGTTGCTTGTTAAATTTTTTAAGCTATCATTTTCAAAATATTGCTTTTATAATAAGGAAAAAAAGTCATTTCAAAAAATATTACCCAATATTTGGCTTGCGATTATAGTTCTCCTGAAACTGGTCCAAGGCAAGCATTGCTGTGTGAATCTGTAAAGATGCCTATTTAGAACATTAAAATTTGGTCAAGTTATTGAGAATATAATATGTGCCAGACAGGCACTGTGCTAACACTAAATATTATTTAACTCTTACAATAAATTAATTAGCTTAATACTATTATTTTCTCTATTTAACAGATGAGGAAGCTGAAGCTCAGAGAGAGGTTAAAGAACTTGACTTCAAGGCCATGAAGCTATATTTAAGCAACAGATTCACATGTCAACCCCAAGTGGTATATCCAGTTTTTAGTACATTATCCATATGAAAGTCAGAGTAATATCAACTAAACACCAACAAAAAACATTTGTACGAGATCAATATTACCTAATCCTTTTTCCTGATCAACATCTACAAATTTAGAAACTGTTAATATAATTCTTATCACACATATATTCACTGCTACAAAATTATATCCAGGGATTTAAAAGAATAGAATAAAGGTTTCCAAGGTTTTTAGGAAGAAACATGTATCATATAAAACTCTACATGGTTCAGAAAATCTTTAATAAGATCACTTTGCATAAATTATTGAAATCATTTTTTTAAATACTAAAGCTAACATATCATTATAAAAGTAAAACATTTTGCTATTATTTTAAAAAATTTTCCTTGATACAAATTCCTGTTTTTAATAGTTGGGAGTCAACTCTAGATATGTGAATACAACCTTTACTATAAAAAACCTGACAGAAAAGTATGTACATGGTTTCCCTACTTTTAACTTTACAATGTCTCTTACCAATTCCCAACCCCCACTCTGCTGCCTCTCTCAAACCTACAAAGAGTTTATTTACCTCAGGTTTGCTAAAATCCGCAATAAGGCACTTTGGATGTTTTATCTGCGTCTCCAATGGTTCCTTAATAGAAACATAAACTATTACTTCAGAGCAAGTGAGTGATTACTAACAAAATATACAGAGCACTAAAGCAGTGCATCTCTCCCAAAAGTCTGAACTATTTATGGTAGGGCTAATATGGTTTAACTGAAATGTGAAAGAGCTACCATTGCCCATCACCCCTTGTCTCAATTGCTATGCTTCATTGTTTAAATGTTAATTGTGGGCAGCCCTGGTGGCCCAGCGGTTCATCGCCGCCGCCTTCAGCCCAGGGCCTGATCCTGGAGTCCCAGGATCGAGTCCCACATCAAGCTCCCTGCATGGAGACTGCTTCTCCCTCTGCCTGTGTCTCTGTCTCTGTCTCTCTCTCTCTCTATGTGTCATGAATAAACAAAATAAAATCTTAAAAAAAAAAAAGTTAAATGCAGTTAGAGAACCTGCTGCACATAGTGTATTTAGGAAGAATTGGTGAAAACACCTATATATGAGGCAAAATCTGTTTTAGTCAAAAAGCTATCATATTGTTCTGCTATCAAATTATCAAGATGTGTTATGCCTGACAAGACCTGAATACTCAACTGTAATTTTCCGTGTGGAGCAAAGAACACACAAAGGCCAAAAAACCCAGCCAGCAAACCAACCATTCCCCCACAACACCCACTTAATCTGAAATTTACTTGGGGCATAAACCTGAAGCAAAATTAAAACTGGGGCAAGAAGAAATCATGTAGGAGCAGATTTGATGAACTGTATTAATCTGTTGTTTTGTTCTAACTTTGGCTTGGACAAAGCCCTGTAGAGGACTACGGTTAATAATTATTCTGGAAAAGAAAAGGCAATCAATTTAAACCTGGAGAACTCGCAAAAAAACGATAAGAGCTGTACTACACAGATTATACTGAGAAGTAGCCTATGTATTTAAGTGGCAAGAGACTCCTTAGTTCCTCGGTACAGAGTAGCTACTATATTCTTTTTATTTAGATAATTACATTTTCCTTTCAATGCCAGTTTATAGGTCTTATTTTACATTTCCAACATATATACACTTTCTAGAATTAAAATGTAAAAACCTGAACTGAAAAGTATGATAAATAAAAGAAATATTCCTTTTACTTTTACTTTTACAATGTAGTAACTGTTTCAATGCTTGGTAAATCTTTCAAATACATATTAGCTTTATCTTTTGTCTTAGGGAGTAAGAAGTATGATCAATTCTTTGTGATTCACCAAAGTATAGTTCCTCTAAGGTAACTTATATACCTCAATCATATGCACTGGTATTCTAGCCAAAAATTTTTTTTATATAAATTTATTTCCTTAAATTAATCCCATTTTCCTCAAAGTGGGTATAAATTACAAACCAAAAATCTGTTCAACTCCTAAATCAACTGGTTAACTGATTTTTCTATTACTTTTTTCTTTTCTGTCATTCTTCTGCAAATAAATATATTTAAATAAAAAAAAATACTTACAAAGCAAAATGTTTTAGGAGTCTTAACTTGGACAGCTATGCCTCCATGTAAATAAGGTTCCAGTTCTGTAGTATCACCAATGCTAAAAGAAAATGGTGATACCACTAAAAGAAAAATAAGAAAATTATTTACTGATATATTTAAATTTGAAGATTATCATGACAAAGATATTAATTTTTACTAATTTATAAAAATTTAAAAATATACTTATAATGGGATCTTCTAATTTTATAAATAAAGGGGACAGGCAGTGTGGAAAACTGGACAGACTATTTTTCCAGTGTGAACTTAATGACTTAAAAATAACCAAGAAAACTCAGAGGGGGGATAATAGTAATGAGAGGTGTTTTATAAAACTTATTATCAATAAGTAATATTGATACTAATTATATACAATTAATACTAAAATATAGTATGGTACTGGCTAATGAATAGATAGGCAGACAAATGGAACATTTCACATGTAGCCTTCCTCAAGACTCTGAACCATCACAATCCTGCATTACACAGACCCTAAAATAACAATAAACCTAAATGGTTACTTTAGTCAATTTTTATAAAAACAGATAAAAATTCTTTAATGTCAATGACCTAACCTGTATTTTGCATATCTATATATAGTCTGGGAAACAAAATCCAGTAATTTTGTTACCAAAGATGCTTCATTAACTCTAGATCCAAAATTGTTTTACTATAAAGAGTTCAAAATAGGGACTGATTCTCTTCTCTCCTAAGGATCCATTCTGCAGTCATTACAAGAAAAGACGGTAATCCACTTATTGGTCTATACAGTAATTATATAATTAGACTTTCAAATATCCTAAAAAAAACCTGAATTGTTCTTAGCTAACAGGTGTAAATATTCTAACTTTGAGTTACAAGATGTTTAGCAGTATCTTTAACTCTTCTAAACATGGCTGTAGGAAAATCACAAACTATGCAGATTAACTGCTAAAAATTCACTATCTTCAACTTCAAATGGGCACTAAATGAAGTCTGATAATCTATTTTAAAAAATGTTTACTCTCCTCAATCTCTGACCTTGGCACCTTTCCTCTCCTATGGGAAATGATCTCAGTCTATTAAAAAAAGCAAATTCCTTCAACTTTTTGCCAGCAAACCCACAAACTTGCCTGCAATAACATTCATTCATTCCTTTTATCCAAACCATAAGCAAAAACATGTCTCCACTTGAAAAGTTCATTGCCACCCTACTCATTGAGCCTAAACTGTCCTCATTATCTTCTAAAACTTTCTAGCTTCCTTGAATTCCCTAAGTGAATAAATAAGTGGCCCATGTTAGAATCTTTGCTTACCTACTAATAAAATTATGAAATTTCCTCTTAAATGCCTTAAGACTTTTTCTATCTCAACTCCCACTGCCAGTCCTGCCATACTGTATCTTTTAGTCTCCTGAATTGTTTGCCTTTTATTGTCTCTGCACAGAATATTCTTTACACCACCTTCCTAAGTCCATGCAATTTTAATCAAGATACTCTGTCCCTATTTCTGCTGGTCCAAGACCCGGTAGATTTCCTTGCTATATTTAGAGTTCACAGAATGCCTGTACTCTCTATATATACCATCACTGCTTAATGTTAACATCTCCTCACTTGGATTGAATGTTTTGAGGCCAAAAACTAGATCACGTTTGTCCGAGTTGATGTTGTATTTTCAACATTGAGTAGACTGTCTGAACTATTAAAGTTTTGAAAAATAAGTATAAGTGAATGAGTAAAACACATGAACTTACCAGTTATTTGTTGTGTAGATCCATTTAAGCCTGTCATTCCATTAACTTCTCGAAATGTTAAAAACTGCCCTGTCTCAAGCTTGTGAGGATGATTTTCAAGGCAGGTAACAATGCCAGGATTAGCCTAAAAACAAGTTCACGTATACCTTTTTTTGTACAAATTTCAAATCTTACACAAAAGGGACCATTTTATCTAACATTCTTGAAACAATCAAACTACTAAGATTTTTCTTTCCTTTCTTAGTAAAAGCAAGCCTTTTAAGATTACTGCAAACTAATGATCAACTTATTTTATTATGAATGTTTAAAATAGAATTTTTATGTTTAAGAGAGATTCTACATGGGAGTTCAAATATTTCACAAAGATTTTTGTGACATATATTTAATAACTTTGAATGTCTTTTATAAGTTTTAAAGTCACGTTATCAAAAATTCTGCAAAAAAGAGGAGTCTAACTTTGAAGATCAAAGAAATATAAGAAAGGAGAGAGACTTAAAGTCAGAAAACTGGTAATTTAAAGCTTGCAACACTATAAAGGAAAATATTGTGTAGCCCAGCTTACCAGGATAAGAAACTGGCTTATTTTACCAAATAGGATGGATGAGATAGGTCAAAGGCCCAGAAATTTCCTAACTGTATATAATCCAAAACACTGCTTGAATAAGGTAATATTTATTTAATCTACATAAAATCTAAAATTGTCATTCTCTGTTTCATAATTATAAAGATTCTAAAAATTTTGCTGTGGCTTAATAATTTGGCTAAGAAATAAATTATGATCATAAACATATAGATAAAATTAACCTAGTGTGGGTTTACCAATATTTCAAGAAGAATAAAATTTGTAAGGGTTTTATTAAAAAAGGAGGAATAGGGACGCCTGAGTGGCTCAGAGGTTGAGTGTCTGCCTTTGGCTCGGGGTATGATCCCGGAGTTCTGGGATGGAGTCCCACATCAGGCTTCCTGCATGGAGCCTGCTTCTCTCTCTGCCTATGTCTCTGCCTCTCTCTGTGTGTCTCTCATGAATAATAAAATCTTAAAAAAAAAAAAGAATAAATTGCAGATTAAGTTAAACAGGAACACTTACTGTATTTTGTAATTCTTTATGGATAACCTTAATACTTTGCACACTATTCAATAAAAGAAAAAACCAATGCAATACAAGAATCCATACTATATCCTAGAGCCTATTCTAACCGTATGGTATTCTCAGGGACAAACTAAACACAAGTACAAAGGTTAAAGGCTGAATAATAAGTCATTCCATAAGCAGAGATACACAGAATGATTTTTTAAATGCATTTTTCTTAAAAAGGGGTGAAAAGGCAACATTACACTGGCTGGATTAAAATCAACCATAAAGACAGAGGCACAAATACTATTAGGTCAAGGTATATTATCATTCCCTTTTATTTAGCATCTTTTGAGCTTCAATGTAAACTGATTAGAAAGAATGCAAATAAATGTAATGATTTAGACTAAAAAACAAGTGGCAAAAATTGATCACGATGATTTTTTCAATTCTTTTACGGAATAAATACCTTAAGCTTATATGAAGAAAACGTGGTTAGAAAGTTCATACTTTCTGATCTGAAGGGTAATTTTTATACCTCTTTTCCTCCTCCAAATATTCTAGAAATATAACAAATTTTAGAAAAGCTTTTGCCTCTAACTTAATCATGCATCTTCCTATTAGTCCATTGTTGGGCCAGGTGGCTTATAACATACTTAGTACTTCCGTGATCTAACACAATAAATACAGTTCAGTAAACACTGAATCACACTTCATGTCCAATAGGAGCACAACATAAACAAATTAAAGTTAAAAATTTATGACATAAGTAAATGTTGATGTATTGATTATTAAATAATGTTAGAAGGAATCCAGATACTCTGTTAATATCCTAACTTAAATCTTAAATTTGGTTTTAATATAATGCAATCAAGAAATTAACATATTCTTTTATAAATTACCTTAAAATACCATAAAACAAATGAAAAATATTGCATGTTACAGTATTTTGCTAATATCACCTTTTAAAAAATTGTATTCACATCAATCTAAAAAAAATCAACCATATACATATATAATAATAAATATATACAACCATACTTGTGTTATATTTGAAATGAAAATTTCTTTTGGCTCTTCTCCTGTTGTATCCGAAACTTCAAATTCATCACCAAAATCACAAAACAATCGTGACCAAACTCCATGTATATCTGTGCTGATGAACTATGAAATGATAAAAACAAGTTTATCTATTCACATAAAGAAAAAACCCGCATGTCTACTATTTTAAACCTTTTCACGACAACTTTATTTATAGTTAAGATTATCCTTTCGGATATAAAGTGATCACAAATAGAATACATTATTTGTCTGTAAATTGGTTCAGGAATCAGGATACTGGTATTTGGGACTGGATGTCTAGTGTTATACAATTAGAAGATGCAGCACATCATCATTACACATTCTCTGATTTTTAAGTAACAAAAATTCTTTCCTTGCCTTAAAAAATCAAGCAAAGTATTTAAGAAAAAAGTATTTAAGAAAAAAAGTATTTAAGAAACATCTTGGTTCAATGGTCTTAGCAGCGAATTTTTACTTTTCATTTGAGGAAATAAAAAAAAGAGTGTCCATTTGTTAAAAGTAAAGTTAATGGAAAAATAGAACAGAGCTAAAAGCTGAAAATCGAGGCAACAAACTGAGGCTGAGGAGCTGTCAGTATACATCAAAGTCAAGAGAGGTAAAAATTAGACTCTTGAACACAATCATTAATCATTGCTCTATTAAAAGTGACTTTTATAACACATACACTCTCTCCACTGTAAGAATCTGCAAAGAAACTTGTGCTCAAAGTTATTTTGAGAGTTAACAATAAAAGGAAAAATTCTTATTCCATAACACATATGATCCTGTATAAAGTGATTTTTTAACAAAAACTAAAGTTTATTCATATTTGGATATAAAAACATAGCCCATTAAAGTAATTTATGCCACCTTAATTACATAAGGTAGTGAAAGAGTTAACAGAAGATTACCTCTTACTGGATCATGCACCGCCTTTACTCTCAAAATAGGTACACACAGCATTTTTTATGAGACAAAACTGAGCAGAAATTTAGAAACTTTAAGTTTAAAAGCTGCAAACTTGATGACAATTTCTTTTGAAAACAACTTTCAAGTAGGACTAAGTATTATCAATTATATAAACAAAGACTAGTTCATAACTCAGTGTAATTATTTTGTAAAACTTCTGTGCCCTATCCTAAGTTTATCCTATATCTTATTCATTTGTTTAAATTGTGAACCACAGCAGAAATGTTCTACAGAATGTAAATGTTACGTAAACACTACAATCCAAAAACTTTTAGCACATCTATTTAATAGAGTAATGACTGTTGGCTTAGTGCCTATCTCAAAGGAACAAATAGTTTTTTTCTAAAGGAATAAGTAACCCCATAAAGGAGGTGGAGCTGGTAATATGTATGTAGCTGAACAGGAAACATGATTTTTTTCCGATTTAAACCTATTTCTGGTCTTCCAAATGTCAGTCACCAAGACTCAATTACTCCAGAAAAATCTATAAGTCATTTTTGATCATTCTTTCCTTCACAACTTGTATTCATTCATCGATTCTCATATCTAAAATTCAATGATTTCTTACAATCTATTTCTACCTCTCTTTGAATAAGGCACCAGCGCCTCTCATCTGGACTACTGCATTATCCTCCAACTGGTCTAGTTGTCTCTACTCTAACTCAACAGCTCTCTCTTTGGTTTCGTGATTCCTTCATGTTCTTAAGAATTACTGAGGACTGAAAGAGCTTTTATTTATCTGGGTTATAACTACTATATTAGAAATTAAAACTGAGAAACATTTAAAATATAAGAATATACACATATTCCATTAGCTGTCAAAACAATAATATCACTACACATCATCTAGACTGAAAATTCCACTGTGCCCCATAAGAGAATCAGAGAGAAAAAACAAGTAACATTTTAATATTATTATGAAAATAGTTTCATTTTGGAGACCCCATGAAAAGATCTCAAGAATTTTCAGTATCTATGGGCCATACTTTGAAAACTTTTGCTCTAGACTATTTTCTATACAGCACATTACGAGTGATTTTTTAAAAATATAAATCAGGTCAAAACTCATGGGCTTAAAACTCAGCTATCCTTGGGGCAGCCTGGGTGGCTCAGCAGTTGAGTGCCGCCTTCAGCCCAGGGCGTGATCCTGGAGACCTGGGATCAAGTCCCACGTCAGGCACCCTGCATGGAGCCTGGTTCTCCCTCTGCCTGTGTCTCTGCCTCTCTCCATCTGTGTCTCTCATGAATAAATAAATAAAATATTAAAAAAAAAAAAAAAACAAAACTCAGCTATCCTCAAAGTTATCTAAAAAACAAAACTCAGCTATCCTCAAAGTTATCTAAATTACTCCTCAAAGTAGTCCGCTAACTACTTCTCTGAACCTAATTGTCTGGTAACTTGTACTCCTACTTCTCTCTCTTCTTTACCCAAACTCCATTCTGGTCTTGCTTGCTTCTCATTGTTCCCTAAACACATTAAGCAAATTTTTACACTTGCAAGTCTTTATACTTGCTATTCTTCATGTTTTGAATGTTCTTTCCGACATTTTCCATAGCTGGCTCCTTATCATTATTCAGGGTTCTACTCAGATGTCTGAACTCCTCAGACAGGAGTTCCCTGACCTTCAATTTCAGAGAACCAGCACTGGTCCCCATCCCAACATCATGCAGACATTATACTCTTTACCTAGGTTTTTATTCATAGGACCTGAAACTATCTATTTATCTGCTTTTTTATTATGTATTTTCCTTACTGGATGCCAATTTTCTAGAGTAGGAAAATTTGTATGTCCTATTCACTAATGTATTCCTAAGGCCTACAACTCTATCTGTAGCACATGCTCAATGAATATCTGTTACAAGAACCAATGAACCTCTTGAAAACCACTATGATGCCATATTTAAACTTAGATGATGAATTCAATATTTACTATCCCTTCCATTCGTAACCTTAATTCTTCCTTTTAGCAATTTTCTATAAGTCAAATTTAGATCCTGGTTTTAAAAATAGGAAATGAATGTGATGCCAAAATTAAAGAGGAAAATACTACTGTGATTGTCCTTATGTAAAAAGACTTCTTAAATAACCCACTGAAAAGCTACAAATTCTAACAAAGTGTTCTTTCTTTGCTTAACTACAAGTCATTATTAAATGACACTATTACCTTAATTGGAGGACACTGAGAATGGCAAAAGTTATTGATCTTCTTCTGCAATGGAAGTTTGATCTCAGTCAATACTACACACTATTAAGAAGAATATAAGAAGATAAACAATTAGTTTGGTAAAATATACTTCTAAATCAGAATCATTTAAGTTTGCATTATGCTAAAAACATTGTTTTCTTTATGAAAGAACAGTATCCGATTGTATTCTATTCTAAGATTAAAACCTTCAGAGTTATGGAATAGCAAAAGGAAAAATAACATATTACATTAGTTGCTTTTTAGTTTTGTTATTTCCTTTACCATGCAGGAGCTTTTTATTTTGTTGTAGTTCCAATAGTTTATGTTTGTTTTTATATTCTTTGCCTCAGAAGATATATTTAGAAAAATGTTCCTATGGCTAATGTCAGAGACATTACTGCCTGTGCTCTCTTCTAGAACTTACTGGTTTCAAGTCTCATTACTGGGTCTTTTATCCCTTTTCAATTTATTTTTGTTTGGTGTAAGAAAATAGTCTAGTTTCATTCTTTTGCATGTCGCTGTCCAGGCTTCCCAACACCACTGGTGAACAGACTTTTTCCCCACTGTATATTCTCTTCTCCTTTGTTAAAGATTAACTAACCATATAATTGTGAGTTCATTTCTGGGTTTTCTATCCTGTTCCATTGATCTATGTTTTTATTTTTGTGCCAGTATCATACAGTTTTGATTACTTATTACATTAGTGGACTTAGCTTACTTTTACTTCATATATTCAACAGATTCATAATATAATGACTTTTGCTTTATGACAGTATCATTAGTGAAACCACCAAGTTCTGTTATTTAAAATAGCAAATTATAAGTTTTACTGCTTGATTTCTTATCATCACCCTGTGAGGTAATTAGAGTTTTTATAATCAAATTTTATCTTAAGTAATGTAGACTCAAATAGGTCAAGAATTTTTCCAAGGTTATTCATCTATCAAGTGACAGAACTAGATTCTCAGTCCAGATTTTTTTTTGATTTTTATTTCTTAAAATTCAATTAACATATAATGTATTATTAGTCTCAGAGATAGAGATCATTGATTCATCAGTCTTATTAATACCTAGTACTCAGGGATCCCTGGGTGGCGCAGTGGTTTGGTGCCTGCCTTTGGCCCAGGGCACGATCCTGGAGACCCGGGATCGAATCCCATGTTGGGCTCCCAGTGCATGGAGCCTGCTTCTCCCTCTGCCTGTGTCTCTGCCTCTCTCTCTCTCTCTGTGACTATCATAAATAAATAAAAAAAAAAATTTAAAAAAAAAATAAAAAAAAATACCTAGTACTCATTATATCATGTGCCCTCCTTAATGTCCATCACCCATGTACCCCTCCCGCACTCCCCTCCCCTCCAGCAACCCTCACTTCATTTCCTATGATTAAGAGTCTTTTATGGTGTGTCGCCCTCTCTGATTTCATCTTGTTTTATTTTTTTGTCTCTTTCCCTATGATCTTTGTTTTGTTTTTTAAATTTTACATGAGTGAGATCATATGATAATTCTTTCTCTGATTGACTTATTTCACTTAGCATAATACCCTATAGTTCCATCCATGTTGCTGCAAAAGGTTTTTTTTCCTTTATTTATTTATGATAGTCACAGAGAGAGAGAGAGAGAGGCAGAGACACAGGCAGAGGGAGAAGCAGGCTCCATGCACCGGGAGCCCAACGTGGGATTCGATCCCGGGTCTGCAGGATCGCGCCCTGGGCCAAAGGCAGGCGCCAAACCACTGCGCCACCCAGGGATCCCACAAAAGATTTTTTTGATGGCTGAGTAGTATTCCATTGTGTGTATACACACACACACACACACACACACACACATACCTATATATATGTACATATATACATACATGCACACCACATCTTCTTTATCCACTTGTTTGTCAATAGACTTTTTCTTGAGGCTAACTAGTTTCCATGAATTGGATAACTCACTTTCATTACACATATCCAGGTGTGGATTTATTCCTATTTATCTAGCTCAGAATATAGTGTGCTTCCTGCAGAGAGGTATTTCTCCTCCATGGGTCTCTTACTTTTTATACATGTATCAACTGGATATGCAATGAATCAAGGCTCTTGGCCATTCTTGGGGCATCTCTCAGGATTATATCTGATTTGTGCAAGCCTGAGGAATAAAGTAATAATTCCCCCTGGAACAAAAAGCATGCTTGTTTATTGCTTGCTATAAAACAGCAGGTTATATCATGAATTCATCTTCAAAGGGGCTTTATACACTGGAATATACTATGGCTTAGTTGAAGGTAGATTATTAAATTTGTTTAGTTTTATTTCTTTCTGGCATTCCAGGGTATTACTAGCTTAATACTAGTGCTTATTTCTCAGCTTGGAAAATTTTAGATTACAAAGAATTATAAAGTTACATTCAAACTCAGGTGAGTACAGGCATATGGTTGTGAATTCCCAGAGAAGATCATTATATTGTCATCCAGAGCTCAAGAGAAAACAGGCAATCTTCTTGTTCTGATGGGCAAAGATTGTTCTCATCCACACTTTCACTGAGCATACAGCCCTCTCAGGTTCTAACTTTACAAAGAGGGGTAGGTCTCAAAACCATTTCTCTAAACCTATTTTGTATCTTCTGTTTCTATGTTACCACTAATTCTCAATAAATGTGGTTATTGAAACCAGCAACCCCTGACTGAAAGTGACCATAGCCAATAAGCAGTTCACTGGTTTCTTTTAGCTACCCATTCATTTTTGGTCTCTGAGCACTTCCCTTACATTATTTTGAGCTAAGATACTTACTTATTTAACTTACTTAATTCATTTATTTATAAAGGCTACTTTTATTCAACATAGTACTGGAAGTCTTAGCTGTGGCAATCAGACAAGAAAAAGAAATAAAAGGTGGCCAAACTGGTAAGAAAGAAGTAAAGCTGTCACTATTTGCAGATGGCATGATACTATGCACAGAAAACCCTAAAGACTCCACCAAAAAACTATTAGAACTGATAAATGAATTTACTAAAATCAGTTTACAAAATTAATATACAGAAATCTTTTTATATACCAATATAAAGTAGCAGAAAGAGAAATTAAGAAAACAATCCCATTTACAACTCTACTAAAAAACCAAAATACCTAAAAATAAAATTAACCAAAGAAGTAAAAGACCTTTACTCTGAAAACTATGAAACAATGAAGAAAGAAATTAAAGACACAATACAATGAATGGAAAGATATTCCATGCTCATGGATTGGAAGAATTAATAACGTTAAGAAGTCCATACTATCCAAAGCAACCTATAAATATAATACAATCTCTATCAAAATACCAACAGTATTTTTCAGAGAACTACAACAAATTATACAAAAAAATACTAAAAAACACTATGGAACCACAAAAGACCCTTAACAGCCAAAGCAATCTTGAGAAAGAGAAACAAAGCTGTCACAATTCCAGATTTCAAGATAGACTACAAAGCTGTAGTAATCAAAACACTATGGTACTGGCACAAAAAGAGACATACAGATCAAGAGAATAGAATACAGAGCCGAGAGATGAACCCAGCTTAAATGTTCAATTAATTGGGATCCCTGGGTGGCGGAGCAGTTTAGCGCCTGCCTTTGGCCCAGGGCGCGATCCTGGAGACCCGGGATCGAATCCCACGTCGGGCTCCCGGTGCATGGAGCCTGCTTCTCCCTCTGCCTATGTCTCTGTTTCTCTCTCTCTCTCTCTCTCTCTCTCTCTCTGTGACTATCATAAATAAATAAAAATTAAAAAAAATAAATGTTCAATTAATCTATAACAAAGGATACAAGGATATACAGTAGGGAAAAGGCAGTTTTCCACAAATGGTGCTGGGAAAACTGGGACAGCTACATGCAAAAGAATCAGAATGGACCACTTTCTTACACCAAACACAAAAATGAACTCAAAATGGATAAGGATCTAAATGTAAGACCTGAAACCACAAAACTCCTAAAAGAAAACCAAAGTAGAGGTGTCTAGGTAGCTCAGTCAGCTAAGCATCTGCCTTTGGCTCAGGTTATGATCTCAAGGTCCTGGGATGGAGTTCTGCATCAAGCTCCCTGCTCAGAAGGGAGTCTGTTTCTCCTTCTTCCTCTGTGCATGCTTTTTCTCCCTCTCTTCCTCTCTCTTTCAAATCAATAAATAAAATCTTAGGAAAAAAAAAAAAGGAAATAGAAGTGGTAATCTTTTTGACACCAACCACAGCATTTTTCTAGATATGTCACCTTGGGCAAGGGAAATAAAAGCATAAATAAACCATTGGGACTGTAACAAAATAAAAAGCTTTTGCACAGTGAAGGAAACCATCAACAAAATGAAAAGACAGCCTACTAAAAAGGAGAGATATTTGCAAATGACCTATCTGATAAGGGGTTAATATGCAAAGTATATAAAGAACTTATACAACATCAAAATCCCAAACAATATGATTAAAAAAATTGAACAGAGGACCTGAATAGACATTTTCCAAAGACATACAGATGGCTAACAGACACATGAAAAGATGCTTAACATTTCTCATCATCAGGGAAATGCAAAAAACAACCCGCAATGAAGTATCACCTCACATATATCACAATGGCTAGAATCAAAAAGGTAAGAAATGTCAAGCATTGGTGAGAATGTGGAACAAAAGAAATCGTCTTGTGTTGTTGGAGGGAATGCAAACTGGAAGATGCATACTGAGGAAAACATATAGTGGAATATTACTCAGGTATAAAAAAGAATAAGATCTTGCCACTTATAACAACATGGATGGACCTACACAGTATTATGCTAAATGAAATAAATCAAAGACAAATACTATATTATCTCCCTTGCTTGTGAAATCTAAAAAAATGAAAGAAATGAATAAGGAAACAAACAAAAAATCAGACTTTTAAATAGAAAGAACAAAATGGTAGTTGCTAGAGTGGAGATGGATTGGTGAAATAGGTAAAGAGAATTATGAGGTACAAACTTCCAGTTATAAAATAAGTCACAAAGATGAAAAGTATGGCACTGGGAATATAGTTAATATTGTAAAACCATTGTTTGGTGACAGATGGTGACTACATATATCATGGCATACAATGAGTAATGCACAGAATTATTGAATTATTATGCTGTATACCTGAAACTAATAGAACACTACATTAATTATATTTTAATAAAAAACTGAAAAACTAAAAGGAACTCTATTGAACAATTCTATTTAGAAAGTCTATTACACATCTTTGTAGAAGATTGATTTCAAGTTATATAGTCCAGAGTGGAAGTCTACACTGGCTTTTAAATTGGTGTTATATTATTATAATTATAATATTAAATACACCTTTCGGTCATTATCCAAGGTTCCTGGCGTATAGATCCTAAACTCTTATAATTTCCCACATAAGAGCTACAGAGGCATCTTTTGTTATAGTATTTAGTTTTGTTCCAAGTCCTGAAATAGCTCCAGAGCGATAAAGGTGAAATAACATCTTTTGTTATTCATAACAAGCCCCTTTCAGCTACACCTGAGTTTAGATTAATGAAATGACTTTTAGAAGCCCACTAAAGATAGGGGCTGATTGTCAGGGGAACCAAATTTGTGATCTGAAGGTCAGAACTTCCAGCCCTGTATCTCAGACCTCCAGGGAGGAGACAGGGGCTAGAAATTTTCTTAATCACTAAAAATCAATTATTTAATCACTTGTGCTTCCATAATGAAGCCTTCATAAAAATCCCTGAACTAAGGGCTTAGGGAGCTTCCAGATTCATGGAGGTGCCAGGAAGGTGGCATTCTTGGAGAAGGAATGGAAGCTGTGTGCCCCTTTCCGCAGACATTGCTTTATGTATCTCTTCATCTGACTGTTCCTGAGTTATAGCTTTTATAATAAGCCAATCTAGTAAGTAAACTGTTTTCCTGCATTCTGTGAGCTGCTCTGGCAAATTAATTGACCCTAGGAGGGATACGTGGGAACCTCCAATTTATAGCCAGTCCTTGGAAGCAAAGGGTAATAACAACCTGGACTTGTGATTGATGTCAGAAAGGGAGCAAAGAGGCTTTTGTGGGAATGAACCCTTAAGGATATGAAGCTATCTTCTCCAGGTAGAGTGTCAAAACTGAACTGAACTGTAGGACACTGAACTAGGTGTCCATGGAGTCGGAGAACTGCCTGGTTGGGAGGAAAAACTCACACACATATGGCAATACAGTGTCAAAACTTCGAAAAAATATATATATATTGAGTAGCAGTGAAACAAGGGAGTGCTTCTCCCTAAATGGGCAACATCATAATTTAATCACAGAGAAAATCAGGGTCAACCTAATCACTTTTTAACACTTAAGGTGTTGAGAATTGTTATTATTTAAGGTTAACTTTAGTTAACCTTAACTAAAGTAGACTGAATATTGTCTGCATTTTTTTATTCCTCTGCAATTGATTATACATGATCCTTTGTCCATGGCTTTAAGAAGAGCAGAGTATATACTTCCCTGCTTCTCCACTTTGGGCTTGACCATGTGACTTACTTTGGCCAGTGAAGTATTAACAGAAGTAAAATGAATGGAACCTTACAATGTGCTTTAGATAGCTGGACTTGCCTTTTTGCATTTCTTTTATTGCCACAATACCATGTTCTATGTAGCCTCCTGGTCCCAAGAGAGACAGGTGAGCAAAACAGACTTTGCAATTTGAGTTCAGCCTAGAACAGCTAAACTCCAACTGACATACAGATATAGGAGAAAGAAATACATGCTAGAAACCAGAGTTTTGCACTGTTCTGAAAGAAGCTGACTTTGTCAGTTCTCAAGTCCTTTCCCTAAAATGAAGCATTGGAAAGGTATTATTTTAAAAGGAAGTCTTTTAACCTAGAAGTTTTTGTTCTGTTAAACACACTAGATTTAATTAATTATACTACAATAATACCTAACAATCTGCCTTATAATTTGTCAACAATATCTAATATAAAATAGAGTACCAACCTGGTATTTATCTAAGAAGGAGAGATCTGTGGTTTCATTTAAAAGAACAGAGGATGATGTGACATGAACATATGGATTTAGTTCTGCAATATGTTGAAGTACAGCTTCAGCCCTAAAAAGCAAAAAAAAGGACTTTTATTATTCTTCCATTCAATACTCCCAATCCCTCATACTTGGACACTTTGACGATATCAGAGAAACATGAATGTTAGAAAATTTCAATGGAAACTTAATATAGAGATAGAAAGAAGACTTACTTATCTATATAGATAACTATACAATGTTGAGATGTAGCATACTGTCATGTTCCATCATAAGCCATGTAATCTCAAAGCATACCCCTATGGTTCCAAACTCAGTAAGTCTTTTAATAATTCAACAATAAAAAAGACTTTTAATAATCTTACATTCATTTCTAGGTAGCAATATAAACATATTAAAAATTTCACAAATATAAATAACTAAATCAGTATATGTTAACACTTAATTGTCTATGGTGATGTGAATTTATGGTGATGAGTCAAACAACTATGAGTGAACTGGAGTTCTAGACACAGAAAATATTCTAAGTAATTGCAAGAGTAAAAAAAAAAAATTCTACAATAATACATCAAAATATCTTATCTGCACCTGTTTCTCCTATTAACAACATCATCTTCACAGAGAAAGAAGTTGGTTCCTAGATCCCATGTTTGGCATTTTTCTGTATCATGAATGGTAAGTGCCTTTGAAAAAGAGAAAAATCTCTGTTATATTCAGGAATAAGACAGCTATCTTTAATATTTATGCTGAATTAGAATTATCCAGTGTAATTAGATACTAGAAAGTAATTAAAAGCTTAAGAATTGGGAAGGATATAAAGTTGAATTCATTCACATAGGGTGTGACCATATTCATCTGTAAACCCAGGAAAATTAACGGAAAAACTACTTTAAACCATAAGAGAATTTTAATTTAGGAAAGTAGTATGTTATACTAATCAAAATACAAAAATCAAAAGAATTCACGTGAACAATTATTTTCAAATGTTCCATGCTCAAAGTAAGAAAGATAATCAAATAACTGGAAAGAACATTTTTGACATGTAACAGAGAAAGGAGCAAGGTATATGAAAAACATGCAGTATACTGAAAAAGAAATGCATTATTTCTTTTCAACCTGCTTGAATACTTTAAAGGGCTTGAATACCTTAAAGTATTCAAGCAATGTCAATCCTGTTCAAGAATGAAATACCTTTCCTCATTCATCAGAATGGCTTAAATCCAAAAGTTTGGCAATACACTCTACTGGTGAGTGAGGTGAATCAGGTATTCTTATATTATTGATAGGCATGTAAACTGGCATGACCTTAGTGGAAAAGAATTTGGTATCTCTAGCAAAACGTGTACTTTTATCCTTTGACACAGCAATCCCACTTATAAGAATTTATCACAAAGACACAGTGGGAAAGATACAAAAAGACTTATGTACAGGAGTATTAACTTAGCGCTATTTGTAACAGAAAAAGATGGAAGGTAACAAAAAATATCTACCAATAAAGAACTGGATCTAATAATATGTAATATATCCATACAATGTATACCCACATAGGACAAAAAAAGGATGAAATATATATATTTAACATTATGAAGTAATCCCAGGATATGTTGTTAACTGATAAGGAGAAAATGGAGGCAAACATGGCACTTTATCTAAGAAAGGTATGTGGGGATAAATATGTATATACCTACCCATATGTGGGAGCTGCCAAGTATATCAATCAATTAATAAACAAAGTAGAGAGATTAACTTAGATAATAAAACACTAATAGTAGAGACTTCAACACGGTACTTTCAGCAAATGACAAATATTTTAAACAGAACATCACAAAAGAAACAAGGGCCTTAAATGATACACTGGACCAAATAGATTTCACAGATATATACAGAACTTTCCATCCAAATGCAAGTGAATACCCATTCTTCTCAAGTGTACATGGAACTTTCTCCAGAATAAACCACATACTGGGTCACAAATCAGGTCTCAACCGACACCAAAAGATTGGGATTGTCCCCTGCATATTTTCAGGCCACAATGCTTTGAAACTAGAACTCAATCACAAGAAGAAATTTAGAAGAAACTTAAAAACATGGAGATTTAAGAGCATACTACTAAAGAGGAATGGGTCAACCAGGAAATTAGAGAAGAAGTAAAAAGATTCATGGAAACTAATGAAAATCAAGATACAATCATTCAATATCTTTGGGATACAGTAAAGCAGTCCTAAGAGGGAAATATATCGCAAGACAAGCCTCCCTCAAAAAACTATAAAAAACTCAAACACATAAGCTAACGTCACACCTAAAGGAACTGAAGAAAGAACAGGAAGTAAAACCTACACCAAGCAGAAAAAGAGACTTAATAAAGATTTGAGCAGAGCTCAATGAAACAGAGACCAGAATAACTGTAGAACACATCAACAAAACCAGGAGTTGGTTCTTTGAAAGAATTAATACGATAGATAAACCATTAGCCAGCCTTATTAAAAACAAAAGAGAAAAGACTAATTAATAAAATCACAAATGAAAAAGGAGAGATCAAAACCAAAACCAAGGAAATACAAACGATTTTAAAAACGTATTATGAGCAGCTATATGCCGACAAATTAGGCACTCTAGAAGAAATGGATGCATTTCTGGAAAACCACAAATTACCAAATGTGTAACAGGAAGAAATAAAAACCCTGAACAGGCCAATAACCAGGGAGGAAAATGAAGCAGTCATCAAAAACCTCCCAAGACACAAAAGTCCAGGGCCAGATGGCTTCCCAGGGGAATTCTATCAAACATTTAAAGAAGAAACCATACCTATTCTACTAAAGCTTTTCCGAAGGACAGAAAGGGATAGAAGACTTCCAAACTTGTTTTGTGAGGCCAGCATAACCTTGTTTCCAAAACCAGACAAAGACCCCACCAAAAGGGTGAATTATAGACCAACATCCCTGATGAACACGGATGCAAAAACTCTCAACAAGATACTAGCCAGTAGGATCCAACAGCACATTAGAAGATTATTCACCATGACCACGTGGGATTTATCCCTGGGATGCAAGGTTGGCTCAACACTCGTAAAACAATCAACCTGATAGATCATATCAACAAGAGAAAAACAAGAACCCAAGAACCATATGATCCTCTCAATAGATGCAGAGAAAGCATTTGACAAAATACAGCATCCATTCCTGATCAAAACTCTTCAGAGTGTAGGGATAGAGGGAACATTCCTCAGCATCTGAAAAGCCATCTACAAAAAGCCCACAGCAAATATCATTCTCAATGGGGAAACACTGGGAGCCTTTTCCCTAAGATCAGGAACACGACAGGGATGTCCACTCTCACCACTGCTATTCAACATAGTACTAGAAGTCTTAGCCTTCAGCAATCAGGCAACAAAAAGAAACAAAAAGCATGCAAACTGGCAAAGAAGAAGTCAAACTCTCCCTCTTCACAGATGACATGATACTGTACATAGAAAACACAAAAGACTCTACCCCAAGATCGCTACAACTCATACAGAAATTCGGCAGAGTGGCAGAATACAAAATCAATGCCCAGAAATCAGTGGCATTTCTATACACTAACAATGAGACTGAAGAAAGAGAAATAAAGGACTCAATCCCATTTACAATTGCACCCTAAACCATAAGATACTTAAGGAATAAATCTAACCAAAGAGGTAAAGGATATGTACCCTAAAAACTACAGAACACTTCTGAAAGAAATTGAGGAAGACACAAAGAGATGGAAAAATATTCCATACTCATGGACTGGAAGAATTAATATTGTGAAAATGTGTATGCTGCCCAGGGCAATTTACACGTTCAATGCAATCCCTATCAAAATACCATGAACTTTCTTCATAGAGTTGGAACTAATCATCTTAAGATTTGTGTGGAATCAGAAAAGACCCCGAATAGCCAGAGGAATACTGAAAAAGAAAACCAATGCCAGTGGCAACACAATGTAGGATTTCAAGCTTAGTACAAAGCCGTGATCATCAAGATACGTGGTACTGGCACAAAAACAGACACATAGATCAATGGAACAGAACAGAGAACCCAGAAATGGACCCTCAACTTTATGGTTATTCGATAAAGGAGGAAAGACTATCCACTGGAAAAAAGACAGACTCTCTCTGAAAATCATAGAGCATTTTCAATAATTATATTAACAATATTGAAATTGTTATGCTGAAATTATGTTGTAAGTAGGTATCATGTAATATAGGATAAAGCAAATACATAATTAAGTCCATATCATTAAGACTCAAACTCTTAGAGTAAGAGAAGAGATAGAAATACAAATCATGAAAGTAGTAGACAAATCATGAAATCATCAAAGAAGTAGACATGCTATCATCCTAAACTTGAAACCTGGAATTTCAGTGTTCATTCATGAATTTTCTAGCTCTGTCCACTCAAGAGACTTTACCATTAGTGACAAAGACTACTAGGGTTGTATCAAAAGGACTCAAGAACTCGAAGAGTCCAATAAGGAAAGATGAAACAATTTAAGCATCACTAAGAATTACAACTATACTGGATCAAAACAAATCATGTATATTTAAATCCGTAAGTAGTTTATCATGATGTTCATGTATATACACATGCCACACAAGTTCATTAGTCACTATTGGGGGATGACAGGAAACTACTGACTCTGAAACCTGGTAAACAAAGGGTGAAAAAAAAAAATCAAGTATTTATCCTGCCTTTTATACATGTACAAACTACACTTTAGTGAAACCAAATATGTGATGAATGGAAAACGGTCTAAAATACTATTCCAGCTAATAAATCAAAAAGAAATGACAGAATTGGAATATCATTATCACTAATGAAATAATCTAGGCAATGATCATTAAGAGCTAGTAATAACCACAAAAACAAGGGCAACAGATTAAGATTTCCTACCAACAAGAAAACATAAAATTATCTGTGAAGCAGGAGTGCCAAAATAATCAAATCTGAATTTGAAATCTCTGGATAGAAATACCAGTTTACAGGAAATACAAGAGTAGAGGTATATGTGATAAATGATGTGGTTTTATTTACAAGTACATTGTAATGGGAAAAAATCAGGGAAAGGAAATCTATAGATAAAAAGAAATCAATTTCAGTGTATGGACTTGACTTGAATCCTAATTAGAACAAAACAAATTAGAAAATCTGAATTCTAACTAGATATTTGATGATTGAATTAGGCTGTAAGAGAACCCCAATGATTCCCAAGTCCTGTTACTCAGGCCTTTGTGTAATTCCCTTTCCTTAAATTCATAAACTACTGAATTGCTTTTAGCAAATAAGCATAGATAATGGAATATCCAAATTAGGTTACAAAAGACTGATTTGTTTTACTAGAACATTCTCTTTCTTGTCTTCTTGCTAGCTTACTCTGATGAAGCAAACTGCCATAGTGTGAGCTGTCACATTTCAAGGAACTGAGGATGACCTCCAACCAAGAGTCAACAAGGCACTGAAGTGGGAATGTGAAGTGAATTGTTTCCTAGAGTTCAATGTCTGTTATGGTTGCCATCTTATTTGCTGCCTCCTCATTTTTCATCTTTTTTTCCTTACCTTCCCCTATGTATGTCTGGGTTTTATATCAAAATAATTTGATGGTTGGGGAACAGTGGGAAATGGGAAAGAGATAACATGGAACAAATGTGTCTATGAGCAGGTAATTGTTGCTGCATGATGGGTACATGGGGTTTTGTTAAAACTATTTTATTGTCACATAGTTTTGAAATTGTCAAAAGAGGAAAATACAGCACTAAAACAATTTTGCTAGTAAATGAAGAAGCAGCAAGAAGTAGGCCAAAGTGTAAACAATATTACCACTAATGAGCAAAAATAAATAAATAAATAAAATAAAAACCACAACAATTATTTTAACCAAGGACATTTACTCACTTACCTTAATTCCTGCAAGAACAAGATTCTTTGCTATGAAGGAAAAAGAAAAAGAGATAGCTTAATATTAGGAACGTATATTAGTCTTGATGGAGCTTGGTCCCATCTCTGACTGGATAATTTAACTTTTTTACTACCTAAAAAATATAAGTTCCTTAGAAAATACAGATGAACAAAAAGGAAAAAAAAAATTCTATAATCATACCACACCAAGGTATAATACACTAAAGTTTTAGTGTATTATCTCAGACATGTTATAAATGTATGTGTGTGCTCTATCATATATGAATTAAAGATACAGAAATGATCATTTATGGTTATTAACATTATAAAAAGAAGCAAGAGAATCATTGCTGGTTCCTTGTGGAAGAACATAACAGTATCATGAAACAGTGTTATTAAGGGGCAGCTGGATGGCCCAGTTGGTTAAGTGTCTGCCTTTAACTCAGGTCATGATCCCAGGGTCCAGGGATTGAGCCTGAGGTCGTGTTCCCTGCTCAGTGTGAAGTCTGCTTCTCACTCTGCCTCTCCCCCTTGCTCATGTTCTCTCACTCTCTCAAGTAAAATCTTAAAAAAAAAAAAAAAAAAAAAAAGATTTTGGATCTAATCTCCTTTATGGGAAAATAAATTCTTTAGTTTACGTTGTTCAAAGTATCATATAAAATCATGAATAAAAATACTACTTACCAATTTCCAAACCAAGACCACCCATACCACTTAAGAAAACATGGGACTTGGCCATCTTCTGCATTGCTGTGTCTCCAAGAACGTACCTCTGTCGACTATAGGTAAAACACAATAAAAATAAATTATTTCACAAAAATTACACATCCCTTAAAGTTGCTTGGGAATTAATAGTCTAGCAACTAGGTCCTGCCACAGATGTGTTTTGGATCACTTGCACAGTGCTAACATTTCTAAATTAATTGCCAAATATAGTACATAGTTGGAAAAAACCGAAGATCTAGTACCACCTTCTCTCATGGCAGCAAATGGAGTTGAGTAGGAGTTGTCCTGTTTGATAGGGAAGACTGTGTGCTCTAGACTTGCCACATCCTCATCCTGTTCCCTTCGTTTATTACGTCAGGGGCCATAATAGGCATTTGAGTTTCCTACCTCCCCTTTAAGTCTTTATAAACAGGAATTCTGAGACAAAAAAAAATAAAAAATAAAAATGGTTCCCTTCTTGGAGTTTAAATGACTTACAGCGGTTTTCTAACATTATTTTATTTCTTTCTTTTTATAGTAGTATTTACGCCCAATGTAGAACTCAAGCTTCCAACCTCAAGATCAAAAGTCGCATGCTTTATCAACTGAGCCAGTCTGGTGCCCCTAAAAATTACTTTAAATATAAATGCTGTTAAAGTATGTACAAGATCCTGTTAAGCCATCCATCCGAATAGCCACAAGGCAGCATCAGCATGAGAATTTCAAAAAACACACACTGGCTATTTTAAAAAGTCAGATATGATAATAAAGGCAACAGAAAGCTTATTTGAAAGAATAGTGATAAAGTTGATGCTGTACCAAATTTTTGAAGATAATGGTCATTCCAATGGATTCTTACAAGAATCATTTGAAAATGGGTTAAATATAAATAACTGAACTCCTTGGTTTAGAAGTATTTCTTTTGGAATTTGCAATCTTCATGCTAGTTTAATGCATGTTTGTTTAGTATGTAGATACTTATTTCCATATTTCAGCTATTTATATTCAATTTAAAAGACTGAAAAGTCATTTCTCGCCTAGTCAGAAGACAATTTATAAACAGAAACTGTTATTTCATTCCTCATTCTCACAAAATAAAAGCTAGACTTCTCTTTTTATTTGTATTTTTTATTTTTTAAAAGATTTTATTTATTTATTATGAGAGACACACAGACAGAGAGAGAGGCAGAGACACAGACAGAGGGAGAAGCAGGCTCTCCGGAGGGAGTCTGACATGGGACTCGATCCCAGATCACAGGATCACACCCTGAGGTGAAGGCAGATGCTCAACCACTGAGCCACCCAGGCGTCCCTATTCTATAGTTTTGGACAGTTTCTTAGACTATGGGTATTCAGATATGTCTCATAATACAAATGTGTACATAGCAGTTTCTACAGATATATGGATAGACAGATGATAGATAATAGCATAATATATCTAGGAGAGGAAATACAGGGATAACTTTATTAAATAATGCCAAACTGTTTTTCTGAAGTGTACCAATAACTGTCCTCCTGCAGTATATCGAAGTCCCTGTAGTTTCACATCCTTAACAGGAAAAAGTTAACATAGTAAGTCTGGTCATTAGCCTGTTTACAGGGCTAGCCCTTGGCTGGTGTCTTCGATTTTTTCCTAATTTCCTGAAATAAAAACTCATTAGTTTTCAGGTTTTCTTTTCTAAAATACTATGTAAAACTTGAACTCATTTTAAACAGCATCTCAAGTTTTGATACATAGTACTTCTTTATTATTTTCCAGTTTTAATTATGATTCTTTTTGACTTATGGGTTAATATGAAGTGTATTTTTAAACTTCTAACTTCCTGGGGGAATATTCTGGTTATCTTTTGTGTTAACTTCTAGCCTATGTGTATTGTGAATAGACATCACAATCTATATGATTTCATTTTTTAATATTGGAGAATGTTTTTAGTCAGTTTTGCAAATGTTCCATGTACTCTTAAATGGAATGTGTCCTCAACAGTTGGTTAGATACAATATTCTTTATATGTGCATTATATTAATTTTAATAACCATATTGATGAATACTATACCCATTTTGATTTTTTTGTCTGCTTCTTGATTAGTAAAAGCAACATTTAAACTCCTCCACCAATGTAATAGTAAATTTGTCTATTCTTGTATATTGTACCTTAAAAGTACTGACATGTAGAAGTGCTAACACCGAGTGTCTATTATACACTACACATTGTTTTAATGTTTTACTTGTATTAACTAATTTAAATCTTACAAAATTCTGTAAGTACTATTAATAGTCCATTTTTACAGAAAAGAAAACTTAAGCACAGAGAAATTAAGTAATTTATAAATAATGGAGATAAGATTCAAGTCAGGCAGTTGGCCTTAGCATCCATACTCTTAATCACTATAGTACACTGCATGTAGATTAAGAAAGTCAAATCATTCTAATAAGGTTTACTGGAGGAATAAAACAAACAAAAAATCAGTTCCCTAACCTAACTCTTCCCTACCCAGATTCCTATACACCAAAGGCAATCATTCTCAATTCTTTTAGTTGTTTCTTCGAATATTTACCCTTTTCTCAATAATGTTTATATTTTTATTTCTTGGCTTTTCAGTTTTATATATACCCTATTAATTTCCTCCTAACATGAATAATCTTTCTGCAATACAAATTTGGTCAAGTCATTCTCCTGCTTTAAAAACTCTAATGATTTCCTATTTCCCTCATGATAAAGTCTAGATTCTAATATAAGTCACAAGGCTGTTCATAATCTAGTCTCTGCTTGGCTCTCTCTAGTCTCATCTTTTGTCACTCCTCTATCAAACTCCATATTCTAGGTATACTCAAGGTTTTCACTTCTCCAAATGTGGTATGTTGTCTTTGGCCATTAGACATTTTTCTGGAGTATTTCTCTTCCTCAATATTATCTGCCTGAAAAACTTCTACTCATCCTCCAGTTTTGGCTTATACGTTATTTTCCCCCATGATGTGTCTCCCAACATCCCTAGACTTCCTCAAGATAGTGCTGGATCATCTTTTATGTGCATCCATAACATCCTACAATGTATTACAACATTTATCACAATATATTTCACTATTTCTCTATTTTTCCTAGGAGATTATAGATTCCTTAAGGCAACCTTTGCTTTATTTATTTACTATTGTATTCTCCTGGCACGTTACAGACACACAAAAACAACTTGCCAAATTAAGGAAATGAACTGGCATATAAGAACAAAAACAACACACTTGCTGTGCTCTACTTAGAAGAGGACTTACTTTTTTCTATGTTCAGAGTCACAGGAATTATGTTAAAAAATGTTTTCATCTCAACTTGTTCTCATGAATTATTTTGAAGATTATTTATGTAAATAAGGAATAGCTATGACACAAATTTGGTTATAAATGACAAAGAACTTATAGACAAAAGGATAAAACAAAAGACATATGAACCAAAGTTTTACAAAGAATTATAAAGTCTCAGACAGATTCTCAGCAGTTTCCTAACTACCTTTTCAATGTTTGGCCACCAAGGGTAAGGGTACTAATTAAGTACCTACATTGTGCTAGACAAAGTCAGGAACTCTGAATTCGATGCTAAAAATCTTACGACATTCATATTGTTAGTAAGTAGTAGAGATGGAATTTAAAGAGCCTAGAGTATAACCTCAAGTCCAGCATTGTTATATTACAGCTTACTCTACTGAGTGGATATTCAAAATATCAGTGAAAGTATCCAGTAGAAATAAATTACCCAGGCTATCTATTTTTAAAGAGCCCTATTCATTAAAGATTCTCCCTTCATGAAGGTATGATATCTCCTTACAGTTTTCACCTACTAGTCCCAATTTTACTTCCTTGGGGCCATAGGGAACTTGTCTAATTCCTCTTGGATGTGTCAGCTCTCCAAACATTTGAAGATGGCATTCAGGTTCCAGAGTCTTCTTTCTCCAGGTTAAACATAGCCAGTTCTTTAAATTATTCCAAGCATGACATCATTTTGAATCCCCCTCAACAACTCTAATCACCTTCTTCTGGATGCATTTCAATTATCTTCATCATGCATTCATAAATTTATTAATATCTCTCTCTCAAGCCAGACACTGGCACTGTGTGGGGTCCATAATAACAAACTCATATGGGTACTATGAGGATTAAATTAAATAAGACTTAACATATTAAGTCTGCAAAATATATTAAATACTTAGCAGAATGCCTGGGACATGTTACTGAGAGAAAACGATAAATAATCAAATAATTCTTTATTAAGGACAATACATAGAAGTATCAGAAACTAAGGGAGTCTGATATAAGAAGAGGGAGTAATTATCTCTATCAGCGGAGGTCATGGAAAGCTTCACAAATGAGCTTCATCCAAGTTGGATTTTGAAGACTTAATAGGAGTTAAAAAATAATCAAAAAAGGAAAAGTATTCTGTAACAGGAAAAAAAGGAAAATAAAAGCACGAAAAAGAATGGCATATAAGAGATACATAATAAATACATTAATAGGGGATCCCTGGGTGGCTCAGCAGTTTAGCACCTGCCTTCGGCTCAGGGTGTGATCCTGGAGACCTGCGATCCAGACCCACATCAGGCTCCCTGCATGGAGCCTGCTTCTCCTTCTGCCTGTGTCTCTGCCTCTCTCTCTCTCTCTCTCTCTGTGTGTGTGTCTCTCATGAATAAATAAATAAAATCGTAAAAAAAAAGAAAACTTCTAAAGATTTACTAACTCTTCTTTAAAAACAAAAAATAGGGGATCCCTGGGTGGCGCAGCGGTTTGGCGCCTGCCTTTGGCCCAGGGCGCGATCCTGGAGACCCGGGATCGAATCCCACGTCAGGCTCCCGGTGCATGGAGCCTGCTTCTCCCTCCGCCTGTGTCTCTGCCTCTCTCTCTCTCTGTATGACTATCGTAAATAAATAAATAAATAAATAAATAAAAATTAAAAAAAAACAAAAACAAAAAACAAAAAATAAATACATTAATATTTTCACTTCTGGCCACGAAAAGTTATAGGATCAGATTTATCTTCCACCTGCCTTAAACAACTGAAAACTGGACAATATAAATAAACAACAGATTTCAGAC